CCCACTCAATCATTACAGTTCCATTAATGTCGAAGAAGACAATTAACATTGCCTCGAATTTTGATTTTGTCATGCATGTTTTGTCCCTTCCTCCTGAAAACCACTTATGCCATCCAAACACATGTGCACGAGGCAAAGTTTCATCTCCATAAGCCTCAGTTAACATCTGAAATGTTTCCGTGGGGGATTTTTTTAAGTTTCACAAGAGACTTGATGTTGATTCGCTGTTCAGTTTTTACATTAGAAATTTTTTTCTGGCAGAACACAGTTGCACATGTTCACTAAATCACACATTGCTACCCAACTGGGGTGATCAGTTAAGTCGAAACTGGCCACATGGGTAGAGGGAGGTGTGTAGGATAAAGTCATTAAAACAGTTGTTGCCAACTCCACTCTTTTTTCAAGCTACACTTAGTCTCTTTTTTTATTTTGATAAAAATTTCTTCTTTTTCTTGAGCTTTACAGCCTGCTACAGGCCAGGGCTGCCTCTCCAAGTTTTCTCCATCTGACCCTATCTGCCGCCACTGCTTCCCATTGGTTTAACCTTATCAGTTTCAAATTCTTTTCCACACTATCCATTCATCTGGTGTGTGGTCTTCCTTTTTGTTATTTCCCCTCTATTTTTGGGAAGGTTTTCTTTTTAGTAGGAAATGCATCATCATGTCTATAAATATGGTCTAGCCGTCTAATAATATCAGGTTCATTATATTTCCTATAGATTTAATGGTTATATAATATTCTCTACAGTTAATTATGCTTCACTGGTCCAAAAATCTTACTTGATAATGATGCAGTTTAGAGTGATTTTTTCTTTCAAATATCAGCCACAGTTAAAACAAATTTTTAATTTGAAAACATCTGATCATGTTAGTACTTTAGTTCTGTCAAATACCAGTTTGCACATGTTGAATAATTCAGCTAATAATTGTTAAAATAAATTCAGCACGTGCATTTAATTTTTAATAAAGATTATTGTGGCTTTTTATTATGCAAAATTTAATTAATCATTGAAAATTGGATGTCAGTTAGGAATGTGTATATATTCTAATAAATCACTTTTTATATTATATTGTTACGAATTTGGTATTTAAAAAGCTAATGTTAGTTCAGTTATAAATTAAATGGTTTTATTTCTCGAGCAGTGCAGCGCGTGACGAATATTAAAAGAAAGCTAAGCCGGAAATTGATTGAAAATACAAGAGCGCGTGCATTAAAATAAATAAATATCTCTTTTGATTTCGAGAAAGTACTGGAAAATTCTAGCGCGTGATTTTAAAATCTTATAAAAGGAGGAAAACATCTCAGTTTGTAGTTGCTTAGTTTGTTGTTGTTTAGAAAAAACTACTGTTGTTGATTGTAGCGAATTCACGGATTAGATTAGCGTTCTTTAGCTGTTTTGAATTACGTTCTATTGACATTTGAGTAGTTAAAGAAAACTACTGTGAGATATTGTAATACTGCATGATAATTTGAGAAAATTTAAGCATTTTTGTTGTGCGATAATATAAATTTTTGTTCATTTTTCATCGGACTTGTGCATTCATTTCATAACGAACCCGTACGCACGCAACAACAATTTTGGTGTCAGAAGTGGGATTTGAATGCCATAACAAGAGCGATGGAAGAACAATTGAGAGACAGCTCATTAGTGCTTTTTGCTGCATTCCAAGAAAAGATGGAAGCTGGCCAAGCATCATTTAAGGAAGAATGAAAAATGAAAATTGGGCCAGGAATCCGTTAAGGACGAAATGAAATTGGGCCAGTCCGTTAAGACGAAATGAAAGAATTTCAAGCTGGTCAAGAAGAAATGAAAAGAGAAATTACTTGCATAATAGAAAATAAATTTGAAGCTATGGAAGGCAGAATTGACACAGTTGAAAATAAAGTTGGACATTGAAGAAAGAGTTTCTTCGGTGAAAGAAGAAATAGAAGAAAGAGTTTCTTCTGTAAAAGAACAAATTGATGAGAGAGTTCTGCAGTTGCCAAAGAAATGGATACTTTAAAGAAATTCGTAGTGTCGGCAGGGAGCAGGAGTGATGATTTTAAATTCTTTACCAATGCCTGCTCGTCCACCTCTGAAGCTATCCACATATGATGGGAAGACCTCCTGGCAGGTGTATAAGACACAATTTTCTATCGTGGCGGATGCGAATGGATGGGATTCCCAAGCTAAGGCCTGTCATCTCGCCGCTTCTCTAAGAGCCGACGCAGCGGATATCCTTCAGACTCTTCCCGAAAACAAAGGTTAGATTTCAAAGCTCTGTCCGGCGCCTTGGAGTTGCGCTTTGGGGAGAAGTGTTTAAAAGACTACAGCAGGCTCCAATTAAAATCTCGTCAACAGAAGCCTACCGAAACACTTCAGGAGCTCGCCGCGGATGTTGAAAGGCTGTCCCACCTCGCCTTTACGGAGTGCCCGAGAGAAACGAGGGAAATTCTGTCTTTGCAATACTTTATCGACGGCATCCGAGATACTGAAATACAGAAAGCTCTACGAATGGTGGATGTAAAAGATTTAAAAGTGCTCTAGTGTACGCCATGAAATTTGAGGCAGCCCAGCAAGCCACTCGTCGAGACCGCTACCCAGTTAGAGCTGTGCGAGTCCATGAGCCAGTGGATCAACTGATGGCTCGTTTAGATGATTTAGCCAGACAAGTCGAAGATTTGATACGGAGTAGCAGTGAGAACAAAGTGGCTATAAGATGTTGGAGATGTGGTTCTGAAGGTCACCTACAACGGCATTGCAGAACACCCCAGGGCACGGATAATGAAACGGATGAGTTGACAAGACCAGTGAATGCTTTAAGACGGAATAGTGGTGAAACAAAACCGACCCTAAAGTGCTGGAATTGCGGTGTTGAAGGCCACCTACGAAGGAACTGCAGAACTCCCCAGAGCACGGAAATAAGGCATACGATTTAAACAGACAATTAAATGCCACGGAAGGAAAAGGACTGACAAGAAACCAAAGTGCTGGAACTGTGGAGCTGAAGGCCACGTACGAAAGAAAAGAATTGCAGAACACCCCAGGGTACGAAAATTGAGACAATTTCTGAGCACGACGCAGGAAAGAAATTAATGACCATATCAAGGAACGGAGGTTGCCATAGATAATGAAAAACCCTGTTTTAAAGCGCTTAAGATCTCTATAGTGAGTGGCAACAATAACGGACTGTCCATCAATGGGATATCGATGGAGTTCATTGCAATATGATCATTGACACAGGAGCTAATGTTACCATCATTAGGAAAGATTTAGCTGAATAACAGTTTAAAGATAAACTTATTTGGACGCCATCCTGTGTTACCCTTCAGACTGCGTCTGGTGACAAGATCGACATAACTGGGAAGTTAAACGTAAACATCACGTTTGGAAGTGCCGCCTACCATCACACGGCATATGTGGCGGATATACAGATCCATGCATACTCGGATTGGACTTTTTAAGGAAATACAATTTTCCTTAGATTTCAAAAACAATAAGCTGCTTTCAGCATCTGATGGCATGACTATCCATCCTCAAAGGGATCCTCGCCTGGAATGTTGACGCCTTGTCCGAAAGATCGAGCTTGGGAAGCTGCCGAAATCATACCCAGGGTCGAAAAGAAACTCAAGACTACCAGCTATTCTCCATCCCAGAAGCTCTTCGGTCGAGACCTTTCGTCTGCCTTGTGACCGCCTGTTTAGTCGCCCTACGGATGCGCCTTCATCGCCTGAGGAACACATCCAAGATGCCCGGCCCGGTTTGAGGGGATGCACCGTTCTGCACGAAAGCGAGTCAACTTGGCGACGGAGAAAATGAAGACCAGATGCGACACAAGAGCTACTAGACATAGATCCAACAAAGGAGACAAGGTATGGTTGTGGAACCCGATTCAACGAAAAGGACTGAGTCCTAAATTACAGTCACCTTCGGATGGTCCATATACAGTACTGAACACGAATGACGCCGTGGTTCGGATCCGTGAGTCTTCGAACTCTTACGACAGGTTAGCTCATTACTATGGCCATAGTACGTAATGTAAATAATTGTAATAGTATCAGACCATGGTCCTTTTTGTTTTAAATGTGTATTGATTTGATTGTATTTAGTTTGATTTGCATTTAGTATTTTATTATATTAGTATTTGTTTTGTATTTAGTATTTGATAGCATTTGATTTGTTTAAGTTAGTTATTGCATTATTGTTTATGTTGTTGATATTGTAATGTAATGTTTATGCCTCAGTTGCAATTATGCCACAGTTGTAAGTTTAGCTTCCTGTCCAGGGATTGTACTGCCCGGGACGTGCAGTCCTTGGGAAGGGGGGCAGTGTTACGAATTTGGTATTTAAAAAGCTAATGTTAGTTCAGTTATAAATTAAATGGTTTTATTTCTCGAGCAGTGCAGCGCATGACGAATATTAAAAGAAAGCTAAGCCGGAAAATTTAACATACAAGAGCGCGTGCATTAAATAAATAAATATCTCTTTTTGATTTCGAGAAAGTACTGGAAAATTCTAGCGCGTGATTTTAAAATCTTATAAAAGGAGGAAAACATCTCAGTTTGTAGTTGCTTAGTTTGTTGTTGTTTAGAAAACTACTGTTGTTGATTGTAGCGAATTCGCGGATTAGCGTTCTTTAGCTGTTTTGAATTACGTTCTATTGACATTTGAGTAGTTAAAAGAAAACTACTGTGAGATATTGTAATACTGCATGATAATTTTGAGAAAATTAAGCATTTTGTTGTGATAATAATAAATTTTGTTCATTTTTCATCGGACTTGTGCATTCATTTCATAACGAACCCGTACGCACGCAACAATATTAATAGTATAGATGTTGGAGATTGTTTTTGTATGTAATTTTATTTTCTGTGATTTTAAAATATTTTTTTACAGCACTAATTTCTTGTAAAATATAGTGTTATTTCAATTGTACTGTGCTGGACTTTACTTATTATTTTAGTTTGTCTGTCATTCTTATTATTTTAGTTTATCTGTTACTCTTTTTTTTTCTTAATAGGTCTAAAAAAATTGTTGGAAGAATACCCAGACCCTAAAAAACTTCTGTGGAAAATTATTAATGAAGCATATATAATTCAACAGAATCCAGCTCTTAAACCATCTGTAACTGTAGAGCAAATATCACGAGGTAATTTTTTGACATAACTGAGAATGCTTTGTTTTCACTTAGTGGTTTTTATCCACTGCAGAGTTAGTGCCTCGTTATTGAAAAGTGTTAATATCTTCTCGAGTTAAAAACACATGAGGGATTTCTCTGATAATCTGCATCATTAAATGTCACCATGTCATTGGCCACTTTGTGAACAGTCAGGAAATGTTTCTGTAGCAATCTTTTAAGTTGCCTGGTTATTGTTTTGTTTATCAATAAAATTAAAAATGTATTTGCAATAATCTGGAAGAGAAGATTCAGATGCATGCCATCATGTCTGATTAAACATATTTTATTCTTGAAAATCACAATTTTATGATGAGTTACAGTTTTGTAATGGGTGCAGTAAACACTTGTTCTTGAAGAACTACATCAGTATCATTTATAATTTTGAAATGTATTTGGAGCAGCCAGCACTAGCAGATCTAGCTAGCAAGAGAAGCAAGTGTGCTGTGTTTGACATTAAAACTAGTTACTTTCGATTTCATTGGTATTTTGATTGGCTAATTAATAATTCTCTAAATATATTATTCGCTAAGCTGAATGCAATAACCCTTATCATTAGTGTTATGTAAGAATCATATAGCATGCCTTAGTTTTAAAATGATGCAGTTTAGAGTGATTTATTAGGAGTAGATACTATTTTTAAGATGAATAACTAATATTCAAATTAAAATAGAGAATTAGAAAAGTATTGCAAATTAAAGTTAGAGTTTCGATTACATGTACATATTTTTTTATCTTACATATGCTTCATTAAAAAAAAAAAAAAAAAAAAAAAAAAAAAAAAAAAAAAAAAACCACAAGAAATTGGTAAAAGTATATTTAAGGGTACCCCTTGGCGATTTTTGGTGGTACATGGATTCCGAGTTTGTGCAATTCTTTGACTTGTGTAGCGGCAATTTTTAGTGCAAAAATCGCCACTAGCCAAAGCCAAAATAACAAGACAAAGAATTGCACAAACTCGGTATCCATTTACACATCGACCTATTTTTACTTAAAAAAATATCCCAGAATTGCACAAAAATGGCATTGCGCACTCCCTTCCCTTTATCCATGTACACATCGACCTATTTTCACTTCAAAAAAATCCTTGCACAAAAATGGCATTGTGTGCTCGCTTGAGTTTGTCCACATACACATCGATATACTTTCACTTAAAAAGTCAAAGGAGCACCCAATTGTACTGTAGAGGCAGACAAAAAATTCATAATCTCAATAAACTACATTTTAAACCAAACAATAAAATAACATAAAAAAGGGAAAACCTGTTACGCGTATAAGTACTGCACAAAGCAAATATCCACTTACCTTATTTATCCCCCCGGGGGTCGACGTAGAGAACTCTGCAAAGCTACTGGCTAGGATCTGTACCTAGGCAGTCTCGGCCACGGAGGTATAAAATCACGAGCCTGGTGGTTCCAGAGCCCAGGGTTGGGTCATTTGTATGGCTGGACCCCGGGAGAAAGGCATAAGACGTATACCAGATGGTTCTGTAGCTTGGTGTTGGATGGCACCACGGTGTGGGACGGCACCGAGTTTGCTAGGTAATGTCCTGATGGGGCGCGCTGTCCGTGTAGTACTGGCGGGAGCATTTAACGACCGGTCAAGTCCATCAGGTTTTCAGGTCACGCCTCCGTCGAAAAGCCGAGAACAGGGAGTGGTGACCCCTCGGGCCCAGCCCAGTAAGCGGAGGATTTTTGGAGTTATTCAGTCTGGGGAAGATACGGTGTGGGATCCGGCTCCTCAGACATTAAGGATTAGTTTAAAACTCCTAAATGGTCTTCGTAAAAGTTGGGCTAAGTTTTGGATTTGTGCCCCACGACTCCAGCCCATAGAGTCGAATTCGTTTTGTGGCCTACCTGCCACGACCTCCCCCTGCCTGATATGGGGGTTCACAGTAGGTCGATTCTCCCAGTTGCGTCACGGGTCGCAGGAGGGATGTATAAAATGTTGATTGATTACCTTATTTAGAAATTCTTTCGTCTTCAGTCTGTGGCTCACAAAATTCCTTACCAGCATCCAAAAACTTCCTAAAATCTGAACTCGAATCCGTATATCGGTGTTACCGCATAAATTCACAAAAATAAGAGTCAAAAATATCATATGTAGTTCCATACTGTACGGAAAATGGCTACTAAGTAAACCTTCATTTACACACCAACCAATTAATGCACTTTTTCCTTTTCGTTCCAAATCATACAGATACTTCAAATTAATCTCACTACATTCAGCCATTCTACCATCTAAACAATGAAACAAGCAATGTACTTCTTAACAGCACACACCATAAAAGCCCTTACAAAACATCCCATGATTCAAAATTTTCCGGAATAATGCAAACGATTACATCATAATAGGGTTTCCATAACATTTAAGTACTCAGGTTACCATAAAGGAAACAAAATCTTCGCGATAATACAAGGGGTACCCGAAAGTCAACTCTAACCAAGAGAAATTAAAAGTCTGGAAAATATAGGCAATATTTACATTTTTGTAGTTGGTGTTTGTTGTTTAGGAAAATGATTGTTAAATGTAAAGCATAAATCCACATACTTAAAGACATGTTGATTGACTATTAATATGTGTATACATGAAAATATGCCAAAAATATGACAGTCCTACTGCATGTTGAAATTGGGTGCAAGTAATTAGAAAGTACCAAGTAAGCTACTGATCTTTACAGTAATTTTATGTGTACTACTGAGTGTTGTTTTGCAGTAAAAGTTACTGTATACTATTGTATAAATTAAGTTTATAATGCCTCGTAATTAGTCAGTTGTAAAATTTTACATCTTATGGACACATTATCGTCATCAAAAATATAGTTCAACAACCCAGACACAACCTTGACTGGCAGTTTGGTGATCATCCAGAAGGGGTGTTAATTACATGCCACAGAGGTGAAGAGCTCACATTAGAGTTCCCTGTGGTCCGTAAAGAAAGAATTTACAGTCAAAGGAGGCAAAGTCTCATTGATCCTGTCCTCAGTTACTTTTCATACCTATATTTCATATTCACAGAAATAAATGTGAAGATTCACATTGATGTACACCACTGGAAACCAAAAATGTTGCAACTAAGATCCCTAAAAGTAATGGGATTATATGTTTTTAGAAGAAATATCCTTTTTTTAGTTGAAAAAAATGTTAACCCCATTTGAGCTGGGTCTCTGATCATAGCTGATTGAATATGACATTGCCAATATTGTGATCTTTTATGCAAGCATTATTTTTATTCTTTTTCCTAATAGAAATTTGTTCCCCCCCCCACTTCGCTATGTATCATACACGTTTTAGCTCAAAAAATTAAAAAGAAATATAATAATGATTTATTATAATTATTATAATGAATTAAATAACTATAATAATAATTTTGTATTATATAATTATTATTACTAATTATTAAGAAATTTCTTTTTTTAGTACATATTAATGTACAGATATTTTAGTTTGAAGATTTGATATAAAACAATTATGATTAAAGTAGTATTATAACCAATTACTTATTGTAAAATTATTATAAGTTATAATAATTATATTACAAGTCATTTAGATTTTTATACAATTATTATAACTAATTATTAAGAGTTTTTTTTCCAGTATGTATTAATGTACAGAAATTTTAGTTCAAAGATTAGATATAAAACAATTACTAATTACAGTAGTATTATAACAATTACTTATTATAGTAAAATTATTTATAAGTTATAATAATTATTATATTAGAAGTCATTTTAATGAAAATTATACTTATATAATAATTAATAATTATAATAATTATTATACTGTAATAGTTATTTATTACATTTTGCCATAAAATTATGTTTATGCAGCAAAATTAAGCTTTGAAGACATTCTTATTTTTATCAATATATAAATAAATATATAAATGCACAAAATTAAATACAATGTAGTCAAACAATTAATTTCAAATGATGATCAAGGTAATATGTTAGATTACTTAAAAGTAATTTTCTGTCTCCTTAAATCAGTGTTCTTTGAATGTAGTGAAAATTAACGGGGGAAAAATAAGAAAGAAAAAAATCCGTACTAAATGATTCATGGTCCATCAACCCTATTCCATCAATAAATCAGCCTGAATGCTGCATGCATGTTTATGCCCATGTTTGAACCAGCATAGTTAAACTATAATTGTATTTATTACCCTTACTGTTTAGCTTGAAGTGTAGAAGTTACAAGAATGTGTCATCCTAAAAGTGAAACTTTAAGGAAAGGAAAATATTTTGCTCACATGGCATTGGGAAAAAAACTTTTGGAAAGGAAACAAATTATTATTTTCATGCTTATTAAATATGCATCAGTTTTGATAATAATTAATGATACAGTGTTACAGTTATTTCTGTTTGGTGTATGCTGTATTACTGTTCAAGAACTTAAACATTTTTTTAAATATTTTGCTCTACTTATTGTTATTAACAGATAAGCAAATTAAGACACAATAACACGCCGAACAAATACTAATTCAGAAGTCAAACAACAAAAATCAGCGTTATATTCACAAATTTTGTGAATATAACGCTGATTTTTGTTGTTTGACTTCTGAATTAGATAAGCAAATATGTTGTACCAAATGCAGAAAAGTACCAAAACTTATATATATATATATATATATATATAAATTTATTTCCTAAATAGTATTGATTAATTGATTATATTATCTCCTAAGTTTAATTAAGTTCATACAACATTATATATATATATATATATATATATACATATATGTAGCTTCTAGTTACCTAGATGACAAGATTTTGACACTGAAAATCAAATTCTATGTTAATATGAATAAAGAATGAATTTGGTATAAAAAATATGCAAATTATTTTGAAAATCTTTAAGGATATCTGTAACAATTCTGATGCAAATGCATGTAAATTTCAGAATGTATTAAAAAGCACTAGCACATTTTTGCTTCATGTAATTTTCAAAATAATTAAATTTATGAAAATACCAGCATTAAATTTTCAGTTTTGTAGAGTTCTGTTAAACAAGGAAAAAGTTTTTTTTTTTTTTTTTTTTTTTTTTTTTTTTTTTTTTTAAGTATATGGATGTTAGTTTTCAATAATATTTATGGTTAGAGATATGCCAATGCCAATGATTATAAGTTATGAAGTGCCTATGGTTCAAAACCATGTACCTCCTCATCAGATAGGTGACATTCTAAATTTTCTCAAATCATAACCCTGAAAATTTTTTGAATTTATCAAATCCTTCAAATAATAAGGAGAAAAATTAATATAATGTGAAAATTTTTTTAATAAAACAAAATTTGAAATCTCCAGTTTGTGAGAAGCAAGTTTAAGAATATAGTTTTTAAAAATACATCTATGTGCTTAGTAGTACAAATGCAATTTAATTAATGAAGTATATAAGTTCAGAATTCATATTCTGAACATAATTTGACGAAATATATTTTAATAGCAGTTAAAATTTCAATTGACAGTTCAAAATTTATTAGACATGGCCATATAATTCAAATGGTAAAGAATGAAATTATTGGATTTAATGCGACACTTACATACCATGACATAAAGTAGTTAGAAACATCCACTACTGGTTGTAGATTTCGAGAATCAGTTTCAGGAAAGTACAGCTTGTCCTGAAGATTGTACTCTTTTTGTACCCTTTGTTTTTGAACTAGTGTGGCTTTCAAGGTCTCCGTGAGGTGGTGTTGATGATCCAGATATTACTGAAATTACAACTGTTGCATTATTTCTTTTGAAACTACTGTTAGGTGTTAATAAAACTGATCTTTTTCAAATTGTCATCTAATACATTTAACAGAGATTAAATTTGAAGACTGATGTGCCGAAAAAAGCACAGGTTCATGTTTTTGAATCTCTTTCGTTTTTTAACAGTCTACTTCTCAGATACAAGAAATTTGAATGCTTCCTTCCTCAATTTATTTTTTTATTTGGTATAATTGAAATCGTACAGTTCAATTAATATTATCAATTAATATAATCTGTTAATTTAATATTAAATTATATATTTTAACAAACCAGTGTTTAAGGTTGTCATTATTTTTTTTAATGTTTTTAAGGATGTTTTATTTTGTTCAGGTTCTGGGTAATATATGATATATTGATAAGCATGTTGTAGGTATTTGGCCAAATATGTATAATAGTAACATGTGTTGATAATGTTTTATTACATAAAATTTAAGTTAAACCTTTTTCTCTCGCAAAGCTTTCACTATATTTATTAAAACTATTTTCAAGGTAACAAGGTGCTTTCTGGTTAACACCACTCCTCTGACTGCCAACTTTGTTGACTTGGTAAAAAAAAAAAAAAAAAAAAAAAGGCTACTTTTACAGTTCATAGGGTACTGTTCTGTGTACAGAATTTAATGAAAAAAAGCATTTTATGAAAACTACATGATTGATATGTACATTTTTATAGCTGGTGACTGTTCTTCACCAACAGTACGCACTATAAATTCACATATACTGAAACAATACTGTAATAGTGTGTGCTATGTGTTTGTATGCATTGGCTGTCACTACACATATACTTGAAAATATGCCAAACACACCAGTTCTGAATGTTGAAGCCAAAGGTGCAGATAATCAGAAAGTGCAAAACTATTATTTAATTTAAATTACACTTCTCAAAAGCAAGTGAAATCAAAATTCTACAAATAATAGTTAACCCTAGCTCATATTAAGACACAATAACATGCTAAATTCTAGGACACGCCGAATTTTGATTCTAAGACTTTTTTTAGCTCATATTTTAAGTTTTTATAAGACTGTTTGGTTTCTGTGGGGAAGTTTAATGTAACGATTTGCATAGAGCAAATTTTTCTTATGCTTGTACTTTTTACTACAGTGGTTCATAACAGTTTCATTGTTTTAGATTTGTCATTTATTTCTGTCTAACTTTTGGCCTCTGAATCCAAAGATAACTTCAGTTTTTGTTTATCATATCAGCTTTTTAAGCTATCAGATTCCCTTTCTTTGTTTCAAAAGTCATATAAAATATGCATATAAAGGAAAATAAAAAGTAAACTACCAAATATACTATTCACAAAGAATAGTTTTATTCATACAAAGGTTATATATAGTTCCTGAAGTTAAATTTTGTTCACACAAATAGTAAAGTTTTTTGTTTTCCCAAATGGTAAACATACATACTAAGGTAATTTGCTTTGGCTTCTTATCAAGTGTTTAATCTGGGGGCATTCTCGCTTGATGCTCCAACAATAGTCGGTCATCATATGTACACTGCACAAAAGAAAGGGAGCAGTTTTTTATCTCCAGTTCTACTAGGCCTATTGACGAAATTCAAATTACGTTTTTCATGTCTCGAAAGCGTGACTTACGATATGTATTAGATTTATATATAGCATTGCTCTAATATAGGTATTTTGACACAAAATCGGACTTTTTCTGAAAATGACATGCCAATTTTTTCTATATTTCGATTCTACGACTCAAATTATGCCTAGAAATTAAATTTTGTAATTTTCAGTGAGAAATTTAGAACTTTATCTTGGCAAATTTTTTCAGGTTGCGCCAAGAATAATTCACTTGGCGAACTTCTTAATTTATAGCAACCTATTTCCCTTTGCCTTTCTTCTTTGTGCATGAGCGGGGAAAAAAGGTCATTGTTCATACTTTCAAATAATCATTTTACCACAGTGCATACGCCAGATTTTTTTTATTATCGCTTTTAATAAATACGCCAAAATGTAAATTCTCATATGTCTTAGCAAATTCCTCAGTCGGCCCAGTAGAATGGGAGATATAGAATTGTCCTCTCTCTCTCTTTTTTTTTCCTCCCCAATGTACATCCCATCAACCTTGGTACTGTACCTTCATGACCTTCAGATCTTGGTGGAATCACTCACTGCTCATCACTGACTGCACCAAGATTTTTTGGGAAGCTATCAAGATGGCTAAAATGCAATTTGGTGCTCATGTTGCAACCAAGCATTTTGAAGCTATCCAGAAGTTGCAGGACATCTGTGATTCTGTGCAAAATTTTCAGGAAAATCTTTTACAATGTTTTTGAATGCCAACCAGGCACTCTTTTGAAGTTCTCTCATTGTTCCAATAAACTGTTCATCTTTAAGGAGCTGCCTAATCTGTGGATCATCAAACACACTGGCCTTTATCATTTCAAATGATAGGCTAGGAAATGCAGAAATGAGATACTTGAAACAGTCTCTTTCAATTGGTAAAGCTTAAGCAAATTGCTTCATAAGACCCAGTTGCAGACCAGATGCAGAAGTGGAAATATAATATTCATTTTGTAAACAAGTAGGTTATGTAGAATGTTTGGATCACCAGGTTTCAGGTCCAGATCTTGGCCATTCCGACTGCACCTAGTGCTTTTCACAAGCTCTGCCATCCCATATCCCAGAAAAACAGGCATATTTCTATTTTGTATATCTGCTTTACTGACAAAGGAGAAAACCAGTCACTTTAAGGTTAGTACTAATGATCCATTGGTGCATCAATTTGTTCTGAGTCATTCCGTCAATTTGTTCTGAGTCATCAAAGATGTATGTGGCTGCGTGTTGTCATGACGGAACACAACTCCCTTTCTGTTGGCCAATTCTGGTCACTCTTTCTGGATTGCTTCGTTCAAACAGTCGAGTTGTGCACAGTACAGAGCCGAATTGATGGTTAGGCCAGCTCATTGTAAACAATTCCTTTCCACTTCCACCAAACACTCAGCATAACTTTATTTGGCAACAGTCCAGGCGTTGATGTCATTTGTGGAAGGTCACTGGCCTTTGACCATGGTCACTTGCATTTGATATTCTCATATTTCAATAATTTTTCATCGCCTGTAATGATTTGCTTCAAAAACGGTTCAATTTTATTGCGTTTCAGCAGCATTTCACTGATGGTAATTCGGTCTATCAAATTTCTTTGCTAGTTCATGTGGTATCCAAACATCGAGCTTCTTTCTGTAGCCTGCTCTTTTCAAATGATTGCAAACTGTCATTTGATTGATGTTTGGTACCTCTGCTATTTCCCGACAGTTTGCATGCTGGTCTTGCTCCACCAGTTACAAAATTTCATCAACTTTTCCAATGACTGGCCGACCAGAGCGAGGTGCATTTTTGACATCAAAATTTCTGGGGTGGAATCGAAGAAACCACTCCTGGGTCCTTTTTTCACTCACCGTATACTTCACAAATTTTTTGCCATGTTTTTTCAGCATTTTTATCTTTTTTATCGTAGAAAAAGCATCACATAACATATTTCTTCAGATATTTCACTCATTTTCAAATCCATGTAACGTTTTACACAAGCAATGAAATTAAAACAATAGAAGCTGAATGTCACCTCTTAAGCACATGTTCATTTGAGACAATTGGGCGAGTGTTGTGGGATATATAGGCATCAACACCATCTAGTGGCAAAAAAAAAGTGAAGACTTTTTAATATGACCCAATATTAGTAATTATTTTAATGTATTAGTTTTCACTGAAATTCATATTAATAAATATTTTTAAAATTTTACTACATTCTCCCCTTCCATAAGATGTTTCAGAAGGCGTAGACGCATACACACATAAATGTATACATTTTAAAAACTCAGGTTTAGTCCTTTTGCATCCTGTTTTTTTTTAATGACATACCTTATGTGCTGCTATATGGCACATTATTTTCAGTTTGATAGCCTTTATCCTCTGTAATGATATTGAATTTCCAATAGCGGTACAGAACTTTCAATTTATTGCATGAGGAAATAATGAATTTTTTTTTTTTTTTTTTTTTTTTTTTTCTTTTAGGGGTAAATAACAAAATGATGTGGCAAATAAAACTAGCTATGACTTGGCCAGAACGATTTGAAGCAGAAGGCTTATCTAGCAAAAAGTCAGAAGCTGAAACTATTGCTTACCTGAATGCATGTCAAAAATTGAAAGTAATTAATAATTTTTATTCTAATTTCATTTTAATGATCTTTTCATATATTTAAAATTCCTAAATATAAAGGGAAATGAGTTTTGTGCTAACTGCTGGTGCTAAACTGCTAGCTTTTGTTTTGTATATATATATAATAATTTATTTACTAAGTAAAATGCTAATTTGCAAGATTCTTTTTTATTTAGTGTAACTAGACTAATGGCTAAGCAGAAAGATCGAAAAGCTCTTTTAAAGATTCCCGAGTTTTAAAGAAATAGGATTTGTTAATCTCTTTTGGTGCCTAAGCCTTTTCATTCTTTGTATCAAGGCTATAATAATTTCCATGGGTTGGAACTTTGATATTGACAATGCTGCTTTATATATGACATGAAATGAAACCAGTGCTTACTGGTTACGCTGCACATTAGTTTAATACTTAAACTATTTTGTAATCAATGGACTCTTCTCCCAGTATTATGCATTTGCACTGTTTCAAGAAGAATAGTCTGTTGTGAGTTAATAGTCTAAAGCGGCACAATGTTCTTAATAGCCCAGTATTGGTGAAAGGAAGAACAAGACTTTGAAAACTGAAATGCTAATCAACAAATAGCATCATTTCAATTCGGAACAAAAATCTTAAATTTGTAAAAACTAGTGCAGTGTGAGAAAGATTATGACAACTGAGTGTGATATTGACAATTGAGTATGATTAAGTCACATATGATTGAGATGGCGTTATCGTAATACATACCACATCCCAAAGGTAGACGGACAGTGCATAGCATTACTATTGTTTTGGGGACATAATGTTTGACCAGCATTGAGAAAGAAGAGACAATATTTTCTGTAGAATCCTCTTCTCATTTTGCAGGTTATGCTTGAGCATGCATTGAGTAGCTTTCATTTGTTGTGTGCTCCTGATGGCTTAAAAGTGTTCTCTATCTACATAGCTTTTTGACTGGTGCCCTGCTACTGTGATTTAGTTCTGAGATAAAGGCATACTTTCTAGCATTTTTTTCTGCATTGTATCAGAGAACTTCTAACCATAAACAGAGCATGTACTGTTGCAGGTATATTGCTACATTGCTGGAAGTAGGTTGTATACAGTGCTGAAGATTATAATGAAAAACAAAACAAAAAAATGTTTCAGAGGGTTATCTCATTTGTATCAGTTGTAAATAAGTAGTTGCATCTATTAAAGCTTCAAACTTTGTATTTCTCAAAGCTGCTACCTGGATAAATTTACGTTTAAGATTGATACTTTTGCTTTCATCTTGAGGTATGCTTTTTCTTGTTTGTTTGTAATGTTTCTTTTGGCTTAATCCTAGCATCCGGTGCACACTGGATTGGGCTTTTTTTGGCGACTTTATGATGAGCAGTAAAAACGGGACATATACGATGAGTAGTTAACGGGTCATTCAAAGAAAATATATAGCTAAACATAGTATATACTATGTATATAGTATATATACTATGTATACACACATAGTATATAGTGTATAGAATATATATATATATAGACATTCTTTGGATCATTTTTGGTGTTGGCGATAATTTTCAAAGTCGCGCCAAGGCTGCACCGTATACTAGGATTTTACCTTTCTTTTCTGTAAATTATATCATTGCTTATTTTCTTGTAAAAGGATGGTGCACAGTTTTCATATGACCTTACTCAGTAATATGTATAAATTGCTTAAAATATTAAAACTTAATTATTTTTTTTTTTTTTTTTTTTTTTTTTTTTAAGTTCAATATTGTGAATGTACCACTTTTAAGATTAAGGTCCCTAAGTATGTTGAGTCCATGTTAATGCAGTTTCTTTATTAGTTTCAAACTTTATGTTTTGCTTTTTCCCTGTCTTTTTGAATTTATAATGTTAATTACAGAAAAATACTGAACATTATTTTGCAAAAATTGATGCTAAATTACAGTTCATCGAAATATACAATCTGTTTACAAAGTTCAAATAAAAAAAAAAAAAAGATTTGAGAAAAAGGTATTTATGTATTATCCCGTTGACCATGCAACTGTTGCAGATCAGCTCAGTATAGCGCCAGCTGTGGATAAATAAACTGTTATTGCTTTATTGTTTCTTTTATTTTGGGGAAAAAAAAAAAAAATGTATAAATTTGAAGCTTCCTTCTGCAGAACAGCAAGCTGCAGATTAAAGTTATGGGATCCTACCTCCAAAAAATTGCATATTAATGCAATTATTAATACATATATCTTATAATATAAGATAACCATATTGTCAGCTGAATATGATTGACAATAGAGTAATAGATTGGAACAGTTACTTTCAGGAAATTTTTACTCGTACAAGTCCAGTAAAATTGAACAGAACTTCCATCAAAATTGAGGGTCTAACAAAATAGTTGAAATTGCTGAAAGCCTTTTTATGAAGAGTAAAAGGAAGCCAGTTGAATACTGATAGTTTATCAAATAAAGATGCATCAGTTCTTTCAGATTTTTGCAGGAATGGTTGGTGCAACTTTGGCAGAATCTGTCAAATTTCATGGCTTGAAGGTAACCAACTTTCAACTTGATCGATGATATAATACGTAAGTGCTGAGAAAATTATCAGTATTCCATTTACGTTCCTTCCTTCTTCCCTGGGCTTAACGTATTCATAAAGCCTTTATAGAAATCACCTGTTGGAATATCCTCTAATTTCTTCATTACATTTTTCTGAAATGGTCACCTTTATAGCGAGGTTTTAAATTGTTTGCAGGTGCTAAATATGTTGAAAGAGAGAAATTGTTAAAAGTAATTACATTTTTCTTTGCCATAAATTTTGTTGTGATAGTTATATTATGTGAAGGAAGACTGCCATTCAACGAAAACCAGCTTAGATTCTAATGAAAATAGTTGTGAAGCAATGGATAGAATAGAGAGGATGCTTTGTTTCTTCAAAGCAAACTTTCACAGGAAAATTTAATATCCTTCCAAGTTTTGCACGTTATGCTGCTGAAAACTGATCAATAATTATGTAAAAGAAATTTAGAACCAATTTTTTACAAAGACCAAAAATTGAAATTCAAATGAACTCCTAAATCCTTAAATCCTGTAAATGTAGAATTAGATTTGTTTTAAAATGTAAAAATTAAAATAAACCATTACAAGAAAAACCAGAAAGGAGCAAGAAAGAAGAGGAATCCAATCAACTTCGAAATAAGATTGTCAGGAGGAGGTACGTTGAATTTAATTACAATTTGCCTATTTTAAAATTTTGCTTGCATATCCTGTCTCAGAAGAAAAGAAAAAAAAAAAAAAATTGAGGTAAATTAAAGTTTAATTTAAACAATGCATTGTATAAAAATGACTTTAAATAAATTTCTATAATTCAAAATATAAATAAATCAATCGAAATTTTTTAGATATAAATCTTAAAATGTGTGATCATAGGCAAAGAATGCCTGTTCCTTTCAAGTTTCGTGTTATTCAACCTCTTTGTTTTGTAACCTAATTTATTTTTTTAAGTAAAGAAGTTTAATTATTTTAAATATGGACTGTTATGTTCATGATAAAAATTAATTACAGAAGTTTTTTCTTTAACAAATCAATAGAAAAAAATAATTTGTCTTCCACTTCATGTCAAGTCCATTACCTTGAGATTATTTTGCCCAAAATTAGTTTGCAAATCTGTCTAAAAGGGGCAGTACATATTCAGTAATATAGATAAATTAGTCAATCTAAGTTTGACTATTTTCAATATGTACTGCCTGCCCCCCTTTAGGCAGATTTACAAACTAATTGAGGGTAAAATAATCCGACCTGACATGAAGTGGTTTGCTAAATTTTTATCTAAAAATTTTCATTTGATTTTGTTATATTTTAAAGTATAGAAATATATTTATAATCATTTTATGCATTGCATTGCTCAAATTAAACTTTGAATATTAATTTATCTTGAATTTTCTTTCTTTTCTTCTGGGACAGCATTTGTAAGCAAAGTTTGAAAATGGGCCATTTCCTCTTCCAAAACAAAACACTTGCTTTTCTGTATCCAGAATTAGCTGATGAACCATTTCAATATATTTTTTAATCTTAATAGTTCACCCGAAAACTCTGGTCTAAATTGTGTTTAGACCTCTGAAACGAAATTGTGTTTTATTGTTCATGAATTATTATGGCTAACATGTTGAAATTAATGTTTTACTGTAAGTGTTTAAGGAATTTACCAGTCAAAATACATGTGTAATAGATTCTATATTATTCATGGATGGTTCCACCTTTCATGCAGTGTGAAGTCATAGAATATAAAGTTATGAACAAGTGAGAGGCCCTGTATCATTCACAAGGAAAACATGCATTTATAAAGATTGGCATGTGGTGTAACATTTCAGGAATTGGATAATCAGTTTTATTTTCTTTGAACAGGTTTTCAGTGCAGAAATAATGGGTCACCCAAAAGGTTCTGTGGTTTTTCAAAATGAAGCGCATTTTCTTCTAATTATTTTGTTACTCATGAAATAAAGTGACCTAGATCAAAGTGGATGTTTAAATACTGTTTTTTCTGCTCAAGTTGCATAATGCTAGCATATATTGTGACATATATTTTGTTTCAGTGCGGTGCTAAGAATGCAGATTACATTAAGTTCATTTTTGTCATATTAAGCTCTTTTACTAAGGAAGAGAATGTTAGTCTAACTTCTCATAAAATGTTTTCTGTGTATGGAAAAAGTTCTTTTTCTGATGACACAGTTCGAAGATGGTTTGAGATGTTTAAGAGTGGAAATTTCAGCTTTGTGATGGGCAAATATCTTCTGCAAACAAAGGACTTAATTGCTGAAAATCTAAGCTATGCAGTTCAGGAATTATCAGACAGAGTAAATGTTCTATAAAGAACAGCACATGATCACTTGAAGAAGATCGGATACATAAGCTGGTATGACTAGTGTGTCCCCATACTTTAACTGATGAGAATATACTTGCTGAAATTTTGGCATGTGATCCTTTGCTGAAAAAGAATAAAGCTCTTTTTTTTTTTATATATTTAAATAGCTGATTACTGGAAATACTGTACTATGCAAAAGTGGATGCCACACTATAATGTTACAAGAAAAAGATCATGTGATGAGCCAAAAAGAACATCCTTTAGTCACATGGAGAGGGGAGCTGCAACTCAAAAAAGTAATGGTTTATATATGGTGGAATTAAAAAAGAACTGTATAGAATGAATTGTTGCCATTAAATCGGACAATAAATTCAGAAAAATTATGTTCCCAAACTGCAGTTTTAAATGCAGAAATCAAAGCATAGCAGCCAGAACTGACCAATCTTTGAGGTGTTGTCTTTGGCCCAACATTTCAATGAATGCCAGACAAATTCAATTTGGGCTGAGATGTTTTGTGTCACTTACCATATTCCCTGGACCTTGTCCTTTTGGAATTTCACCTGTTCAAATCAGTTCGAAATTCTTTGAATAGGCTGGAGTTCATTTCTTCAGAGACTGTCAAACAGCACCACGATAACTTCTTTATGAATAATTCTAATGACTTATATTAACTTATATTGACTTACATTGGCTTATATTAAAAAAGAAATTTTTCAGCTGCTTAGGAGATGCCAAAAGCCATAGAATAAAAGGATGCTTGTATGATTCAATGAACTTTGCTTATGTTTTCATGCCACCTAATTTGTACTTGTTATAAAAAAAAATGTAGAGCTTTCTGGATGCCCTAGCATATATCATTATCTCTCTGAAGTTCTTGATCTGACTAGATGGTATTTAAACTGTAGAATGGGTTATTCTAGCAATGTGGTGCAACTTCTTACGTTGCCAGCATGGCCAATATTTGAAGTTGCTTAGTGATGAGTTTTCTGAAGTAACCAGATTCTACTGAACCCAATTATTTTTTTGGAATTTTTTGAAAGGTTCTGTATTTAGCAATAAGCTAAGACTATTCAGTAGCTAAAATTACTTTCTGCAGAAAACTAATGTACCAAAATGCTGGAGTGTATACTTGAAAATATGTGGCAACAAGATAATTTCTCTTTGGATGCTAATGACAGACTTTTCTGCACCTTTTATAATATTGATTTAGTTATAAAGAAGTATGGTACTTTGCATGGAAATTTCAGCTTGAAATGTTTACTCCTTTCAAAATTATAACACAATTTGTTTAAAGTCTGAGTGAATGACTTTGTATAATGTTTATACTGAAATATCTGGATTCCTAATGTTACTTTTTTTAACATACATTGTGTGTGTTCATATAATTAACTGTCATATGATAATTTGATTATTAAGAGTTTGCACTCACATACATACATATATGTATATATTTTGTAGGAATATGGCATTATAGACCAAAATAACCAGCTTCTGTTACCAAAAAATATTAGGACTTTTGGAGATATTGACATTAGGTATTCCAAAGGAGAATTAGGGAATATTTATCAGAGAATCTGGACACGCTATGGCAAACAAGAATTTATACCAAAATACAAAACAGTTAACATTAAAGGTAACTGTTAGATTTTTATATGCATGTTTGTGTTATTCTGTATTTTTCAAGTTAGAAAAACTATGTTGATATTTTAAGGAAATACAGTAATCATTCAATTGTGCATCTGTCATTTAAGTTTTACATTAAGCAACTTTCTTTTATTACTGATTTTAACAGCTAAAGATATGGGAGTGAAATATAATTAAATTTTTATTCATACAGCACTATTAGAAACTGTGCATGGTGGCAATTTTCACTTAACTTTTTTTTTTAATATTCTTTTTCTGTTCAATACAGTTTTCAGTAAATTGAGTATTAGTAGTAAATTCAGTAATAACTTTTGTTAATTTTCTCATCTTTGTTGTCAGTATTCCTAGTAGAAAAGTGATCTTTAACAAGAATATTGCCACATATTGCCATCTTTAACGAGTCAGTTTGTATGAAAATAAATGCAATAAAAACGTGATATATATTGTGTGTCGTATAGAGTTAAATTCTATTACAACTACTCAAAATAGTTTTTGCTAAATGCATTTATTGTTATTGCTACAGTCACACTAGTCATGATGGAATGTGGATGGAAAGCAAAATATTGTTTTGATATCCAGAAGGAAATCAGTGGAAATGATATTGAAGTTTAGTAATTGTATGATAAAAAAAATTTAACTTTCTTGTTTTCTCTTCATATTTCATGTCTCAAATATTTTTCTAAATAAAATTTTTTAAAATTAGATCTGTGTGTTTTTCAATGACACTGTACTAAAAGTGATGGTAGAGTGATGGTAGATGGCTAATGCATCATACAATTTTACTTTTTTAAGTTATATTTTTAAAGTTATGTTTCAGAATGAGAGAGAGGGAGATTTTCTTCATTTCATTAACTTTGATATTTAAATTTAATGTACAAAATAAAATGGCTTGGTGCATTCAATAATTTATCAAGGTATTATTTATTTTTGGTGAACTTTTATTATTCTACCACATTGAGCTTTTGATAGCAGTCACAAGAGAATTAAATTAATTAATAAAATGCTTCTGTTCATAGAAATTTCTGAAGAATTTAGATTGTGATTTATAAGGAATGCAATTTTAAAAAATATAACATGGTTTAAAATTAATTACTAAAATAGATGATGCTTTTAATTAACTATTAAAAAGCAGTAAAGCCAATAAAAGTAGAAAAGGAAAAACTAGTAAAGCTAGTAAAAAAAAAGTATTACAAGCTATCTATTTTATAGATTAATGTGTAACTAACTATTGAATTTAAAATTATGTTTCATTGTTTCTGTTCTTAGGCTGCTCAAAGATTAAAGTGGATGAAAATATTTATAGTTTTTTGATTTACAAGTAAAATTAATTAAACTTTTAAGAGGAAGTGTACAAAATTGTTATGAAGGCTTTTATTGGCTTCTATTTATAATAAAAATTTAAACATGAGAAGTGAGAATGAGTGTGAATGCTAATTTAATTAGTAGTTATGAGGATGTCATGAATTTAATATAGATATTTATAATTCCGTTGTAATAACATTTTCTAAATTCGCATTACTATTATTATTTTAAAAGTTTTCTCCTTTTTATGAATGTAAGTAAATCCATATATATATTGTTAAGTAACTGTATGTATTAAGCGAGAGTTAAAAATTTCTTTTTGCCGATTCAGCTAATAATAATAAGAAATAGAATCATTTCAACAATGCAAGAAAGAAAGTTCCAGTTTTCATTGTCATTAATGGGGATCTTTGCTTGTAGTGCAGAGTTATCTTTGGTGGCAATTCGAGTATAGGTTGTTTCTGTCGCTGCGGAAGGTGCACTTTGAGAATAAGAAATAGTTTCCTTTTCATTATTTGGTTAATCTATGAAATAATAATGAATAGTATAATACAGTGGAACCTCAAGATGCAAGTTTAATTCGTTCCAGCATTGAACTTGTACATAATTTCTCATACCTAGAAACAAACTTCCCCCATTGAAAATAATGGAAATCCAGTTAATCCGTTCTGCACCCCAAAAAATATCAACATAAAAATTCAGTGTTTCACCTTGTTTGTGGTATCTCAGATTTTTGGTTATTTTCTTAATTGAGGCTCCAAATATTTAAGCCTTTTTAATTTCCCTCTTATATGATCCCCCCCCATGAAAACAGTAATGTGTGAGGTGCTTCAATTTGTATTATCTAGCCTAGATTGTAGAATTTTGTGTGTGTGTGTGTCAGATAAAGATTTGTAGGGAATGATGAAAATCTCAATTTCTTTTAATTGATAAGTTGTTGTTATGAAAATAATTTTAAAATAGATGCTGGATATGCTATATAGCTCATAAATTCCCATGATGAGAAATTTGTGCTCGACTGCCTCCTGGAATTTTGGAACTAAAGTATTCTTGAAGAACTTGAGTCTAAGCATACAGAATATCATAATTTCAAAATTAAATGAAGGCTTAAATATCTTTGAAACTAAAATGATGATCTTTGAAAGCACTGATTCAAATGTGTGATAAATACAGATCACCAGAATAGGTTAAAATATTTTCACCTTCTAATGAAGTTAAGAAATGAAAAGTCTTCCATTGATTCATACTTCAGTGTGGGACTTTTTCCAGTTTTCAAAAATTCTTTGAAATTATAATCATGATGTAAATTGCATACATTTGCAACTGTTAATAATTTTGTGTCACACATTTGTCATAAATTTTAGTTCTATTGATATTACATTTTTGTTAGATTTGAACATGATCTTTTTCATGTGTGTATCTGTATTAGTTGTCTAATAGGATCCTTCCTATTTTACATTGCATCTAGAGAAGAACTGTACTTAAGTTGTGTTGTCTCTCTAATGAACTAGCCCACCAGCGGCCGAGCGGTAGAGTTGCTGAACACTGGTAGTTCGGTCTGAGGTTCGAATCCCGTGAACGGGCTGGCTGCATGGGTGTTTTCGTGGTTTTCCCCATGTGTAACGTGTATACGAGCCAGTTTCCCTTAGAAAGTCCTCCACGAAGGCATCCCTCCCCTTAGGCAGATAGCCCTAGTGTGCTTGGCCATAATAAAATACAACAACTCTAATGAACTATTGTGTAACTTATTATCACTGATTTATTACAGTTATCATTATTTTTTTTTTTTTTCAATATTGCAAAATATAGTTTATTAATTATGTGCAGATCAAACTTCTTAAAAATTGCTTTCAGTTCATTTAACCCTTTTGGTCTGGGTTTAGAAAGCAGTGTTATTGAAATATCAGCTCTGTTCACCAAGCTGTGTATTATAGTATGAACCAGTTTCTATTTGAAGCATATGTGAAGGTTTGCTGCTTTAAATCAAACCTGTTACTTCTCAATTTCTGCAGACAAGTGTTGTGGTCACTAAATTGGCAAATTCATTGATCATTCCTGTTTAGAATTGTTCTGATTATTTTGGATTTTATCCACTTTTAGAAGTGTATAACAATTTGAAATAATTTTTAAGTTATAATTTTTTTAATAATTAGAACTGTTATTTAAAATTAGTAATTGTTATGTGTTATCACATCTAAATGAAGTGCAATGATAAGAGGAACTTTTCCGAGAAAGGGCTTCTCTTCCTCCTACCACTGGATAACTGATATAGTTTCACTGGAACTGATGGTCCCAGTGAAATTATTAGTGAAGGTATCTATGAGGGACATTTTGTAGTTGAAATGAAGATATCTCACTTGAAGCTTTATCCTTCGTAGGTTTTCCCCAAAGAACTGGTTTTCACTTAAGTCAACAATCAGTTATCATAAAATCAAAAATTCCTAGAAATGTTTCATTTGATCACTGTTAAGAGTAAGTAGTAGATGTGAAACCAGTTTTAGAATAAAAAGAAACTTTCATGAATTTTAAGAAAGTATGTTCCTTTCAGAGGAGAGATTCAGTTGTAATGTTTTCCAAACTTTTTTTAAAATCATGTGTTTCAATGTGTTGCATTTTTTCTTTTGCAAATATAATGAAATTATTGTTAATTAAATAATATTTATATATGTAACTTACAACTAATCATCAAACATTTAAGGAACATCTCTATTACTTATTAAGATCTATTTTAATTTTATAACAGTTATTTTAATTTAAGTCTGCTTTCCTATTGTTCCTTATTTCAGCTTACAGCCCTCTACCAAAATGAGTTTTTAGAGTCGTATTAAATGCAAATGAGAAGGCGAATAGTATTTGAGTCAAGTTCAATTGACTTTGCCAGAGAGAATTAGGATTCCTGAATAGGGCGCATTTTTCCTTTGGGTACGTCTCTCTAAGCTGTTATCACGCTCGGCTGTATTGCATGCCCTTTGATAGTTTACCAGCTAAGTTAATATTACGAGCCAACTAGTTTATAATTGTGTTAGGCTATGGCTAAATTTCTTTGGTTTGTCATCAGTTAGTTCTTATTTCTTGCATTTTGAGTTTAAGCCAGAATGGACGCTTTGCTGTATTGCCCTGAGAAAGGGGCCGGCTCTTAATAATATTTTGGAGTGAATAAATGGTAATTAACCCTTCTGGAGTTTATGTTGATGTCCTAAAGACTTAAGCGATTATTTGCTTAGCAGTTCACTAGGTTCCTCGACATTACATTTAACAGGATAAAAAAGGAGAAACTCTATAGCTTGAATGTTGTTATTAAACTTTCGTTTGACACATTTATCGTGAAAACACTTTACTCTGTTAATGTAGCATCTGTGTTAAAAAAAAAGCTATAAATTGCTTTTTATGTATTATTATGTATGTAGGTATGTATTAATATTTCTCTCAATTTTCTGTCTAATGCAGAAATAAAAGATAATAAAAAATATTATAATATTATTATGGTAAAATATTATAAAAAAAGTATTATTATATATCAGTATCCATTATAATATGCCATAATATTTCTAAATTATATTTTTGTTTCATTTTTATTCTATACCGTATAGATTTTCTACTGTACACAGTTTTTGGGGGGGGATGTGTGTGTGTGTAATATGCTTTTATGATTTTTGTAATTCATATGAAAATCTAGGAATTCAAATGACATTTTTGTTTAATAGAAGACATTTTCAGGGAAAATAATTTTACTGAATGTATTCGCATTAGCTCATTATATTAATATGTTAATTATTTGTTCTTTAAAATCTCATTCTTTTAAAACTAAAATGGACCATCTTTATTGACATTTCTTTTGTTACTTAAATGTCAAATGCTGAAATGAAAATTTTTAACTGATACAGATTTTCATGTGTTTATAATAGCTGTAACTGACTATGAATTTAATATGTAGAGGAAATATACTCAGTTCTGTTTTCACCCTAATTTTTTTTCACTGTGTAGGAAAAAATATCTAATTTTGGTTTCATTTAGTGTATTTTTATTAACACAATTCAATAAACCTTTTTTTACAATTGTAATTTATTTCAACAGCTTTGCATTGCTTTTTAACAGTTATATAGTAGATGCGATTGGAACTGATTGTAACACTTAATTGTAATTAATCTCTTTATGTTAGTCCTATTTTGAGAAAAATGCTCTCTAATAATGAGGATTAATAATGATGATTGATTGATAATAAGATGATTAAAATCTGCATATGTCTTACTTTCGAAACAAAATTGAATATTTCTTGATTTGCAGTTTTTAAGCAGTTCCTGAAAGCATTAATTAGGTTCTCAAGCAATACATGTTCACTGTTTTGGGAAAGAGCACATTTAAAAGGTTTAGGATATTGTTCATGCATATTTTATAGAGTGAACCATCTGAAAATAATATTCATGTTAAAATAAAATGTTGTCTTTAACTATTAATGAAATATGTAACATTTAGTTAAAAATTTTTTTAGGCATTTTTGGCAAAGAAGATTACTGGAAATCTGAATTACAGCTTACTTATCCAGAATCAAAAACATTTGAAGGTTGTGCTGCTCGATTAAGAGATGCTGAAAGTATAGCTGCAACTAAAGCATTACATTGGCTTCATGAAAAAGGAATTATAAATAAAAAGAAACAATTAGTTGTTTATTCTAAAACAGATGTCTCTAAATTGGAAAAAGTAAAATCTGCCCCATGCTCGGTCTACATTCCTGAAACACTGCAAGATAAAATGTCTTCAGTTTTATGTGACATTGAGGTGAATATTACCAATAATTTCATTGTAGTTTCAATTATTGTTGTATTTACAATTTTATATTATTTTATTTGAGATTTTAATTTAATCTATAAAGTGCAGGAAAATAAATGCTGTTAAGTACCATATAAAAGACAGATAAAATTTTGTGGAAATAATTCAACCAAAATTGAAAGTCAATGTACTAAACCAAATTTAAGATCATCCTACAAATTTTAGATGCATATAATGTATATTTCAGCTTATAACATGCACTCATATATGACATGCACCTATAATTTCAAACTACATTTCAACCTTCCAGCACTCACGTATGTGCAAAATTTACGACAACATCAGCTTCGCATTGCATTTCTATCTCACTAACATAAGAACTTTTACTTATATTTGAATGTGATATTATTTGTATTTTGAAATAATAAGATTAATACAGTCAAAAGTCGTTAATCCGGACTCGTCGGGACTTCGGCGATTTCGGATTATAGATCATCAGTTCAAGTCTGGTAAGATGGCATGCAGAAATTATAAAATTAAAAATATGAAACCGTAATTTATGAAGTAAAGAACAATTATGATCTAAAGGGTATCAAAATTTACAAAAAAAAAACTTAATATTTATTTGTTTACTTTATTAAACATATCTTTCAATGTAAGTTGTTTAAGTTCCTTCGTTTTATGTGATAATACTTTCTCTTTAATTCTATAAACAGACATAATTTCTTGTTCAGTTACAAAGTTCCGTTGTTTAAGTCCTATAATTACTGTGTCGAGAATGCCGACTAATTTGTCAATCGAAATTTCATTTTCAATAACCTCTGTGTCACTTTCTTCACTATCGGAAGCAAATTATAATGACGAGGAAGTTGATTTAAATCATATCAAAGATGGAGTACATCGAGATGAAATACTACATTTAGTAAGGAATTATAAGCCAAATAAAATAAAAACATCTGCCCTGAAGATAAGGATAGTGCTGACAGATCGAACTGACTTCCAATTCATTGCGTGCCACTTCAGAGCAGAGTGAAATTGATAAACAGATTTTGGAATGGTTAGAAAAACAAAGGATATGCCTTTATCCATTTTTTGCAGCAATTCCACTTTTTGTTTGATGGACATCGAAACATACTTTCACTTTGTAGATCCTTTGGGAGCTCCAGCATCGGAAATTCTATTTGACATAATCGAAAGTTCAAGCTTACTTTTATAAAATTGCTCTAACAGTCTGCAAAAATTAATAAGCCGGATCCAATTCGCAGATTAAGGAACAACGCAATCTGCAACATTAACTGAAATAGATAATTTTAGCGTATACCATCCGTTATACATTAAACGCGCATGCGTAAATGTATTATGCGCATGCACACTTGCATATTCGCAGCCGTAAAGATCTTACGTGCATGTGTAAACACGATGCATGCACAGAAAGTTTGTAGCTTTGAGGTCAGGATTATGGGTGTCCGAATTAATGACTTTTGACTGTATTTTATTTCTTAAATTTATTATCAATATTCACTCATTTCTGCCGTTTTTCGTGCCCAAAACGGTAAAATAACGGCTGTCATAAAAAATACGACGCGCGCATCCTTATGTAAAATTGCCAAGCGCACGTGCTGGAAGGTTAAAATTTTTAAGTATATTTTCAATATAACGTGCATCTTTTCTTTATGAAGAAACCTGAAAGATACACGTGTGAGGCTTTTATCTTTTTAAATCGTTCATTCTAATATTTTTCTCAGGCTTTTGAACAATGATATGAGCTTATCAGTGGCTGAGCGATAAAGTCACTTAGTGCTGGCAGTTCAGTTTGGGGTTCAAATTCCAGTGAACGGGCTGGCTACATAGGTATTTTCATGTTTTTCCCATGTGTAATGTGTATATGAACCAGTTTCCCTTTGAAAGTGCTTGAGGAGGGCATTTTTTCCTTAAAGTAGATAGTCCTCGAGTGCTTTGCCATTATGAAATGAAACAAACCAATTGAACAATAGTATATTGAATTGACAAGCGATATGGGGAACAATATATGTGTGAGTGAAGTAAATAATTTTGCAAAGAGATTGTTTTGAATGCAAATGGGCGCAAGAATGTTATTCTAGGATTTTTGAGAAAAAAGAGGCACAGTTTGAGGTAAGAATGCATTTCCATCCTACCCAAATGATTTTGTGGAATTAAAAGTGTGATATTTTCTCAGTAGTCATTTAAAGTTATGATTTTGAAGACAAGATCAATAACTTTGGAAAATCGCATTTGCTTTATAGAAATACAGTTAATCTGGTGTTGTTTTTTTGTTCCGGCCAAATGAAACAAACACAGTGCTAGTTCCAAATGCAAAGTCATTCAGTTTGGGAAAGAAAATTAAAATCGTGTTGCATAAAGATGCTTGGTGTTGGTTGGAAAGCTCCATGAGTGGAAGAAAATGAAATCACAGCATGCCAAATAATAAATGTACTTTGCATAAAGGCATAAGGAAATAGCCTATCCTAGATTCTTCTAGGAAATCTACTAGTGTTGCAAACTGGGTCCTAGAATATCACCAGAATGGATTAATTGTAACAAGAAAAAACTTTTTTTTTTTAGTGGACAAAAAAGGAATACAAATGAAAGTGAAAACTTTAAAGCAACTTTGAGTTGGTGTTGTTGATTTATGGCATAGAATAATTTAGTTCTATCAGGAAAAAATAAAAGTTTTGCGAAGGTTTTCGAAAGCTTTGGGCAACAAATCATAGGTTTCCAGAATTATGTTATTGACCTATGAAGGCAAAAAATTATTTACTGTCGCATAATGGAAATATGGATGAAACTCGAGTAATGTTTGATATCATAGAAAATAAAACAAGATGTGGAAGGAACAAAAAAGGTTCACATAAAAACAACAGGTCACAAAAAATCTTAGCTCACCATAGTGCTTTCCTGCTTGGCAGAATGTACAAAATTTTAAACCGATTGTTATTTAAAAAAAAAAAAAAAAGATGATGCCGAAATGTAATTTCCCAAGTGATGTTTTTATTCATGCTCATAGGAAAGGGTGGATAGATAAAAACAGTATAAAATTGTGGATAAGAAATGTTAGCCAAAAAATCCTGTTGACTCAATTCTGGAAGTCTTTTATTTCGGGCATGCTCAGATCCCATCTAATGGATAATGCGAAGAAATTAATGAAAGTGCGTATCAGTCGTTCTAGGCAGAATAACGCCATTAGTTCAACCTATAGTTTCTGAGTGGATAATAAAAGCATGGAATGAAATTAAAACTGTCATAATTCAAAAGTCATTTAAAAAATGTAGTATATCTAAGTCTAGATAGAACAAAAGAGGATTATTTATTTATGCATCAGAGCTACAGTGGAGAAGATATATTATCAAATGCTGAAATATGACGAATAATATCGAAAAATATGACGAACATTTATATTATCCGATAATGAAAACATTTAAGTTCATAAGGTATGTCATTTCTTTTAAATAAACAGTATGTAGGTACATGTAGAAATCTAATTTTTATTATTAAATCTGTCATTTTTATATTCAGCACATAACACCACACCTGTAGATTTTTATCTTATTTTTTGTATTAAAAGTGTGAATTATATGCCGGAATATACATTATCACCAAAAGTGCAAGTAAAATATTCCACTCTTTTACAAGTTAAACACAACTCATATCTTCTATATAGTGAAAGGTGATGAGGCAAAAGGGGGCTGCATGTCCTATTAAGTTTAAGTTTACAATTATTACTTTTGCTGAGGAATACTATAAACATAACAGAGGAGGAAGGTTACGAGGAGATGATAGTGTCTGCAGTGAAATAGAGAACGATGACAGTCATCTTGAATTGTCTCTTGCTGAGAAAGTCTTTCTGAAATTGGTAGAAAGTTTCAAGTTGGGTACTCAAGAAATTTTATTAACGAGCATAAATATTAAATAAAGTAAAGATTTTTTGGTTATTTAACATGTAATATTTTTGTAATTGAATTTGTAAAGCATTTTGAATTTATATAAGCCGACCTCCAAACTTAAGAAATGAACTGCTGAAAAGTCTCAGCTTGTACTTAACAATATATGGTATGTAAAAGAAAAAAAAAAAAAAAAAGGAGCTTTAAAGTATTTGCAGATTTGAATATTAATTTCTGCTTGCTTAATATCTTTTTAAAAGCTTGAAAAATATTGCAAAAGGCTATGTTTTTATTATTTTCTAGTGTAGTTTCACAGAGTATGAGTAAAATTTAGTTAAGTTGACTAAAATTTTATTGTTTACTCAGAGCTGCCAATAATTATTTATCACATTATTTTATATTTCTTTCAAAATAAGTTATCGATAAAAGCACCATTAAATTTTAAATTAATTTTGGCAAAATCTCACTTTCTTGGTGGCAAGTTGTGCATAAAGAAAATACTGCAGAGCAAAGTCAGTGCCTTTAGTAGTAGTAAATTATTATTATTTTTTTTTAATTCTGGAATTTATACATATTTATTGCCCACTAAATGTGAAACATTGAAATCACTCTTGGCCTTAGCTTTAAGAACGGTATGAGATAAGTTATGGAGGATATATATTACGGCTATTGTGTTGAAATAACCAATGTGCTTAAATTTGTAATTAACCAAAATATATCTTTGAAATACACTATTTATCAAAATCAAAGGAATAATAGAAAAAGGGATCTTGCCTACATTTTCAACAAATCTTTGTTTAGTGTGGGACATTTTCATCTCTAACAGAAATAGAAACCTCACATCTTGATTTCATAGAATTTACCAAACTGCTGATCAAATTTTGTGAAACTGCATGCCAGTCTTCTGAAAGTGCACTTTTCAGATCCTGGAGGATATGGAGAAACATCTGGCATGCTACAATTTAGTGACATAAGGTAACCTACCTACACATGCTCAGTTGGGTTCAAGTGTGGTTAATTTGCTGGCCAATTCTTTCAAGTGATATTCTGTTTCTTAGTATTCTTACCCCAGATATATTAGATACAGACAAACATTGTTATCTTGTAGTAGAAAATCAGATCCGGTAGCATTCCTAAACAGCTTTAGGTAGGGTTCCGAGATCTCTCATTTCATATCTATGCCCTCGCTAGACCTTCATCAAAGATATGCAGTCATTTGTGCCCATTTTTAATGATTTGACTCCAAATCATGGAACGACTTTCGTAGAAACAAGATTGTTCGTGAACAGAATGAGTCATGTTCCTTGCTCCCATAAAAACACATCTAAAATCACAATTCAGGCTATATCATATAAACATTGCATGGCTTTAATGAAATTGAAAATAACATCAATTTAAATACGCGCTTTCGGAAAATGGAGTGAGTGGGACATGAACCTTTAATTTTCTTATATAAAATCTGATGCTGTGAAACCTTTGTGCCGAAAGAGCTTCAGTCACCATTATCTGAATATTTAATAATAAGCTGATATAGTTTTAAAATATATTCTGTTATTTAATATATTTGAAATATATCATCATTCAAATCGGAAGAGTGCTTTCTTCATTATGAATCTAAAATGTGTTCTCATTCAAATATGTGTAGGTTTTTCTCTTTAAAAAAGTGTAATTTCACCTAGAACTCAACATTAGAATGCAATTAATATTATTATTCAATTTTTATATTATTATGAAGCTAAATGTGTCATATTTTATTTATTCAGTATTTTTTATGTAATGTATTGAAACCTATATAATCACTTTACAGTTATAATGTAAAAAATAGTATGGTTAATATTTCTCAGAATGTTTTGCTGTATAATTTTAAGATATTATAATTTCACAAATAATTATAGTTGTTACATTTTATTTGCATATAATTTTTGTTCATACTTATATGTATTTTCTTTGCAAACAGAAAGAGAAAACGAATCTTCTGTTTGAAAACAGTGAAACCATTAAAGAATTAATAGTTGAAGAAAAGCAAGATGAAGTGTATGATATAATAACTGAAAATATATACAATGCACCATCTAATACTGAAATTATCTTATGCAGCCGTGAAATGTTTGAAAAAAGAGTTCGGTTTGGAGAAAACAGTGAACCTGAACTGTTAGAAATTAAAAAAGTTAGATCTTCTTTACCTATTAGCGAAAAAAGGTCTGTATTTTAAATCAAATATTTTTTGTTTCTGTGGATAGATTTTTTTAAAAATTGTTTTGAATTTAAGTTTTGTATTTCATATTATTTAAAATTTTGCAAGTTTTGTGGTTATATTGCATAACTGTCAGTAAAACATTTTGCTATGCCGAAGAAAATCAGGAATACAGGTATTTGTTGGCTTATGTTGGTGCTATGTTCTGATAAATTTGTTATGATTTGAAAATATTGTGAACTGAAAATGTATATTGAAAGAAAAGCAATCAAAGTACAAAGTGAGAGAGTCATTTTTTAATTATAATCAGAAAAATAGCACTTATTCATGACATTCCGAGGAACTTCGAAATTTCAGGGCAAAACCTGTAATCCTCAGAGAGTTAAAACTTTTAAAAAATATTGCTTTGCCTTACATTGTAGTTGGTCTTCTCTCATAGGTGAGCAAAATGTACACTGTGCAAAAAAAAAAGAAAAAAAGGAGGCAGTTCTATATCTCCCGTTATACTGGGCCGATTGACGAAATTCAAATTGCGTTTTTCATGTCTCGAAAGTGTGACTCGAAAGTGTGACAGAGCAATGCTATATAAAAATTAGATTTTTATATAGCATTGCTCTAATATAGCTATTTTGACACAAAATCAGACTTTTTATGAAATGACATGCCAATTTTTTTCCATATGATTCTATGATTCAAATTAAGCCAAACTGGCAAGTTCTGTAAAAATCGCACAAGTAGTTTTTAAAAAATTAGCTCTCAAAATTGTAGCTCCTCAATGTTAATTGAGTTTGGTATATATTTATTAATCTCTTTTTCTATATTAAACTTACTTGATTCTTCCTTTCATATTTCAAAATTTAGGTTCATTCCAAATAAAATTCACCCATTTTTTATGATTTATTTTTTTAATTTGTATTTTTAAATATTTTTTATAAATTTTTCAAGAAACGTTTTGTATTATAACTAATAAAATTTTTAACTTCATCTTAAAGTAGATGTATTTCTAAGCAGATATCTGCAGAAAATTAGAGTTTTTTTATTGAAAATTTCCTAAGATATATATGAATTTGCATTTTGGCACATTCTGAAATTTGTCGTATTAATTATAAGTGATAATAACGAAAATGTGGTTTATGCACTTTGTTAAAATTATTTGAAAGAATGAACGATGGACCTTTTTTCCTCTTGTGCATGAATGAAGAATAAGAAAAGTAAGTAAATTAATATAAAATATAAATTAAGAATTCCACCAAGTGTGGTGCAAACTGAGGGGGGAAAAAAAAGCCGAGGTAAATTTTTAAGTTTCTCACCAAAACTTACAAAATTTAATTTCTAGGCATAATTTGAGTCGTAGAATCAAAATATGGAAAAAAATTTATATGTTATTTCAGAAAACATCCGATTTTGTGTCAAAATACGTATGTTAGAATAATGTTATATATAAATGTCATAAGTCGCGCTTTCGAGCCATGAAAAAGGTAATTTGAATTTCATCAATCAGCCCAGTACAATGGAAGATACAGAACTGTCCCCCTTTTTAATTTATTTTATTTTTATTTATTTATTTATTTTCACAGTGTACATCTACATTTATTCTTATCTCATAGATGGGTGAAGTATACATTTACAGGGCAAACAAATATTCAATATTTTATGTACTTGGACACTAGCAGCCCTGCAGCTGATTTAAAAGTTTTAGTGTATATCAAGTCATACCACATTTTTTTCAATTAAAAATTTTACATTGCGCTATATCCTAAGTAAAAGAGTGACTAATTGTAAATAAGAGATAAAAATAAATAAAACTCTGGTGTCTTCATTATTTAATATTTTTGCCCTACTTTATTAAAATTAAATAAATAATGGTATGGATGAGCCCCCCATCATATCCTTTTCCATGCTGATTTTCTCTACTAGCGTTTTATTACTGAGATTGCCCAAAGAAAACAACTTCACTCAAATACGACATCAAAAATGGAATTAAAATCAGCTGGGCCTCATCACATTCATCTTTTATCGAAACTGAAAATTCTGTCAATTCCATACTGCCAAGTTTGCTTTCAAACTGTTGTCACAAGATTCTCTTCTTCTGCAGAAGCTTAAATGGATCTCGAATCCATGCAAAACTTTCAAAATTTTCATTTTGAATGTGTTTCTCAAACCGAATAATTAGCTGTAATAAGTGCCCTTCTTGTTTAATATCTTCCCTTGTTTAATATCTCGATAAAGTTCATTCAATGTCAAAAATAGCTGCAATATTAAAAAAACAATCTTTGTCTGCATCTTCATTAGATTTTCTTCTGTATAGTGCCAGTTTTACTTGTATATATAAAAGTTGATATTTTTTCCATTGGTTTCAAAAGGTGAATGTTTTTTTCCTGCAGAGAGAGAGCTTTTTAAAAATGTTGCTTAAATAGGCTGGTTTTATTAAAAAGTCAGCATCGGTAAAATATTTTGCATCATTCTGTCCTTCTTCTTTAAGAAAATACAGATTTCTTGCTGCAGTTCAAAGGTATGTGATAAAGCATTGCCACAAAAGAGCCATCATGCATGTTATAGTAGAAAAAAGACGAGTGTTTGACTTCCATGTCCTCACACAATTATTTTTTTTTAACTTTGCTTTCAGTGGATGAGATTTTATAAAATTTTCCACGTTCACCACATATTCTAACACCTGATTTAGTGCGGGTCTCAGATGTTTTGAAGCAAGTGCTTCTCTATGAATAATGCAGTGGGTCCACAGTGCTTTTGTTGATATGCTTCGAATAAGTGCCTGTAATCCTCTGTAACAGCCAGATATAGAAGTGAGCTACAGAGCAACATATAGAGGCTAATTCAAATTATTTTCAGATATGAATGTATGAAGAATCTTCCACTTCTGGAGTGATATTTTTAGAAAATAAAGGTCCTTTTTAACATAAATACCATCTGTAAATTGTACATAGCATATCAAATGAGCATCCTTATTATTATCCATTGCCTCATCTAGCTGCAATCCAAATTCTACTCCTTAAATTTTTTTTTTTTTTTCAATTTATCGTTGATAGTCTCCACCACATATTGGATTCTCATAACTAATTGTGTTACTGTATGAGGGCACTTTTAAAAGAAACTTCCCATCAGACTTACCAACCATGATGCTCATCATATATACAGCAGCCAATAGAATAAGTTCTTTTGCGATGGTATGAAGCTTATTACAATTTGAAGTTCTGTAAGATGCTAACAAAGCATTGTTTGGTATTAAAATGCATTTTTCCTTCTTTCAGTTCTTTTAACTTTTTGGCAAAAACATCCTCGAGGCTCCCCAACCATGCTGTGGTGATTATCCTCTAAATGGGGCTTCAATTTACTTGGAAGCGTACACGCCACTGCCAAAACATTCATGCACTAAACATGTTGTCTCTCTTCACCATTCATTTCTGTTGACTTAAAACCAAACTCTAAATAACCTTCATCCTATTTACGATATTTATTTCTTCACAATCATGACATACTTTGCATTTGAAGACATACTTTTTTCCATTTGCACTTTTCCATTTATTATTGTGCAAAAATCAGTCCATCATCAACAATGCAAGAGCAAAAATCACATATCAAATGCAAACAAACAAGAAGTAATATAACACCAACTATACTACATGAACTCATTTATATCACTGTTTATTTATATGAAGCACTGAGCACTAAAATTATAAATGACTGACTGAATGGAGCAGGCAACACTTTCTTATATGCTTTCCACAAGATCTTCCAAAACAGCCCTAATTCTGTTGCGAAGGGTCTGTGCACTTTGACGTGTCTATACTACCAGTCAACCTAAGTTGAGAACACTGGATATAGTAGAAAGTCTATGTGTTCAGTGTAGAATATACTTCTATCATTTCAATATGCCATATGGTAAAAATTACGCTGTGAAATATAAATATTGTTGAGCAAGAGAACAGAATAAAAAAAAATGTGTGAAACGTTGCATCCAACTTTTTATTACAAAATATCATGTCAATCATTTGATGGCCAATTTGAAAAAATCCCCATCTTTGGCATTATTAGCAAAACTGCTAATTCCAGCAATACAGATTTCACCCTACTCTCAATGAGAAAAACAGTTAAAGCATTTGTTCATTCACTGACTGAGAGGAGAAGAAAGCAGTTCTTATGATTTCTACTTTATCTTTGACATATGTGAGTGATTTCAAAACCTCATGAGGCTGGAAAAACCACTATGGAGTTCTGCTCCATTGTGAATGTTTTTGTCAAAATGCTGGAGAATTTTCGTAATAAATCCAGAAATAAAATTGTTCCTTTTACTGCTGATTGGACCAACATTTCTGTAATAAACATAAATCATATGAAATCCGACCTGAAAGAAAATGATGGATTTTTAATTACTGTGGAAAATGACCTCTGGAAGACGGTACACGCAAACTCCAATCAAATGACATGATAAGCTAACTTTAATAATAATACAAAGAAAAGTTCATGGTTTCTCTTTATGGAATGAGCCATGAAAAAATCATTCTAGCACTATATGTATTCTCAAAATAGATTACCATGAGATATATCATGATCAAAAAGGCTTAGCATTACTGGCTTGTATATGCAAGAATATTCTGTGTGGATGACTTTTATACAGGGCCAAGTAAAAAAACTACACAAAAAAAAGGGGGGATCTGAAAGGTTTCAGATTTTAAATTAAGTCCAAAGGGGCATTTTTTTAACATATTGTGTGTTACCTTTATTTATTAATTATCATATTCTTTGCACTTCAACTATAAAATTCAGTTCAACAGCAATATCGCAAAGTAATTTTAAAATGAGCATATCTTTAGAATTTCTGATACAGAGTCTTGCACACTGGAGACAATTTTTTTTCCCTCCTCCCGTACAATGTAGCCATTCCTTGCTTTGAAATTGTTTAGTTTGTTAATCAAAAATTCGTTTAAGTGTTACAAAATATGAAATAGATATTAAAACAAATTTCAAATTAGGGCTTCCACATGCCCATATTCTATGGAAAATTACGTTATTCAAATTTTGATGGTTCTAGGTACTGTTGTTTTATCACTATGCGAGAAACATATAAACATTCATGCAGATTCTTCATTATGTATTTTCTTTAATACAGGGTGATAATATTGGGTGAGAACAGTTTGAAAAGTGAAACGACGCTTATCATGAATCAACGCCAAATGCCAAAATGAAAATAATAGTCCATCTCAGCAAATTGCCCCTTTGGATTAAAAATATCAACTAAAAGTGGCAGTTAAGTGATGTCATTTTTATGTATATTTTGCAACTGAGAAATTATTTGAAAAAAAGAAATAGAACAACTTTTAATTCTATATCTTTTAGGTACAGCTTAATAATTTTTCATATTTTTAAAACTTGCTGCAGTGATGGTATAGTAGTTAAGGGAGCTTACTGTGGTACCGAGGAACCCTGGTTCAAATTCCAGAAGAGGCATGGTTGTAACTGTCCGTCCCTTCGTAGGAGGCAGTGGTGGCTACCTATTAGGTGCCTCCACAATAAAATGGCCACTAGTTCTGGACTTAGGAGTGGCCATTGTTAAATTCTAAGGTGGCCCACCATTGGATTAAAAGTATTTTTGTTACATATTCTTACTATTTTGGCTATGATAAATTTATTTATTTAATATGACGACATTGTGGTGGTCACATGTTTTTTAATTTTGTTTATTTTTATAGATAGACCCATGTTGGATTCAAAGAAAAAATGTCTTATTCAGTCAACCTCAAACAAAACATTACCATGATGCCTGATTTTCCAAAGAGTTTTCTCATATGAAGCCATGAGATTTTTACAATTAGAAGAATATTTGACCAAATACATTCCGACAGAGCAAATAAAAATTTTTCTTTCTTTCAAATTCTCAAATAACGTTATCTAAGGCATTATTAGCTGGTCAGCTTAGCTTTTTTCTGGCTATAACAACCAACTTTTTTCTGATTAGCATTCTGACTATAACAACTTTAATGAGCAAAATTTAAAAAAACATTGAGGGAGTGTGAGTTTATTGACAGATTTCTAAAGAAATCCTCTCTGTCCAACAATTCTTGGGGGGGGGGGAACATGGTACTTGTATCTCACTCTTGCTACTCATAAAATCTTCTTCATTATGACTTTTTTCCCCACTGGTAAAGAAAGTTCACAAAACCCAATTCAAAAATTTTAAAAATTGATCAAGATATGGATGAGGTGTAAGGGAATACATTGCTAGTCTTGAATAATATTCTGTGTCAAAAGATCCAGACCTATTTTCATTTTTTCAGCAGTCGGCAAAACATGGCGGAAAAGGTGTTGATGCTGTTACAGAATACATTGAAGGGGACTAACATATGCAAAAATAAGTATAATACAGTTGCTTAGAAATAATTATAGTTATTTTTGAGTAACCCTTTGTTAGTAACCCTAAGCCTTGATCATCAAAACTTCTGTTCTTCTAGGAAGCAAGTATATAGCAGAAATTTTATAAATAGCATTTTTATTGTTATTATTGATTTTTGATGGTCAAAATGTAAAATTTATAGACTTTCTGCATAAAATATGTGTGCTACATTTATTAATTTTTGGTATTACTTGAATTTAGGGAGGAGATTTTAAGAACTCTAGAAGAAAATCAAGTAGTGATTTTATCTGGAGACACGGGTTGTGGAAAGACTACTCAAGTGCCTCAGTTTATTCTTGATGATTATATTAGTCATATGAAAGGGGCACTTTGCAATATTGTCGTTACACAGCCTAGACGAATATCTGCTATATCTGTTGCAGAAAGGGTAGCTGCAGAAAGAGGTGAAAAGGTAAAATAATTCTATGTCTTAAAAGAATTATTATTTAAATATTTGTTTTTAATTGATTTTGTGTTTTCAAAATGTATGCAATATGCTTGAAAAAGCTTTATTAAATAATATTGATCTCAGACTTTTAGTTATATAAAGTAATGATTTTGCAAACTTCTTCAAGTCAACACTCTTTTACATAAACTTTTTTCTTTTTTGTCTCCCTTTTCTTTTATATATATGTGTATGTAATTTAATCAATAGTGTATAATTATAATGGATTGATTAATTATATTAAAATTGATTTATTTTTATCATTTTTCTGCAAAACATTTTAAATATATATAACAATAATACAGTATTTTAATATCTCGGTGATTAAAAATTGTATATTTGTGTTGTTTTTAATATCCCTTTCTTTTCAGTATGTATATAATTAACAGTTCATCATTGCATTTGGTTGATTAATTATTAAAAATTGAGTAATTTAACATTTATTTATTTATTTTTAAAAATTTAGAAGTGTATAAATATGAATGCAGTTTTTAAGCTTCTTTGTAATGAAAATTTCATATACATGCTGTCATGCAGTAATAGTAATGATTAAATAGTGGGATTCTTTCAATATTAGATACTAGAAAATGCTAATATTTAGCAGTTTATGAAACACCTATGTATGAAATTTGTGTTTTAAAAGATAGTGGGATATTGGGAAAAGAGAAGTGTCCTGATGTCATCAAGGCAAGTAAAACCAAATGCTCTTTTGATTGCTGGATTGCTTTGAAAGACTTACGGCCAACAACTTTCTTGACTCAGCCCATCAGGTTTCCCCAACTCCCCATGGAGGAAGTTTTAAAAGCTTATGCTAACAAGTCATACATCATACAACAACATTCGAAGTGAAATTGCAGTGATAAGTAATGTCTTTCAGGCCACTTTTGCAAACGTTAAGTATCGCATTCAGCTATGCCTGGGTATTGAGCATTTACAGCACCTCTTGTAATATGAACATGTTTCTAATGATGCAAGGTATGATTTGTGTATGCATGTTTAAAATTTAATAAATAGTCTTCAAAATATTGGCATTTTTTTAGGTCTAGTACTGAGAAAATCGCCATGTGAAATAGAATATTTCTGATATTACACTTGTAACAATTAATAGTTTAATGCTTGATGGATGATTCAGCATTAATAAGCTTCATAGAAAGTTTAATGGACTATCGATATTATAATTCAAATTTGAATGCAGAAGTCATAAATCACCACATTAGGTAACATCTAGGGAACAATATCTATTATCATTAACATAGCCTTAAAACTTTGTCGTCCTAAATATAATGCCAGATGTGATATTATTTGGGAAAAGATGTGCAAAGCATGAAGCTGTTGTGTTCATAATAGGTTTCAAGTTGCTGGATAAATTGTGTTTAATTTTACTACAGCATTATAATAATATTGCCAGTATTATTGCCCCTTTGAATACATGTATATATATATATAAACTTAAAATATCTAAATTAATTAGTAAATTGGAATAAAAGCAAGGCAATCTCTCTATAATATAATAGTTGCAACTGTGTATAAGAGGTTTAATTAAAGAGAGAATTCATAGTAGAACAATCTCAAAAAATAAAAATGCAAAAGGGAAAATATACAAAATTATACAAACAAAAATTAATCTCCTTTTATTCAAACTCCAATTCAGAACTCATCAGGAGAAATTGAATTAAAACTTCATAAAAGTCGATTATTATGTTTCGAAAATACGTTTTGTTCTCCTGGTCAATTTGAAATCAAAAACCGTAAAAAGATTTCATCAAATTTTTATCAAAGACTGTAAAATTTATGTGAAACCAAAAACTCAAATTGCAAACGCACCAGAATTTTCCCTACACATTTTTGAAACACTTGGAAAAAAGAATAAAACATTACATAGTGTCAAAATGAAAATTAAAAAACCCATAGAACTTTACATTATGTACAGTGAAATTTAAAAAAAAAATTGGTCTAAAATCAATATATGCTTATCCGAAATTCATAATCAAATATAAATAAAGAGCAGAACTAATAGTTATTTAAACAAACTAAAAAATTGGGAGATCCCCGATTATGCTAAACTAAACTTTTCATATCAAGAAAATGAAAAACTGTACTTCGAGATTTCTATAAATAAAAAGGTTAAATCTGAGCTTTAAACAGCTAGAAACTGAAAACCTGTTTGAAACGATAGTTGAAAAATGCAAACTTACTAAAATGTTAATGTGACCTTCTATGCGATCTAACTGAATTCTAAAGATGACCAAACATTAATGTGAAATGATTCACTTTTTCATATTTTGCATGATCCATTTTCTTGGCACAAAGGACTTTTAAGTTGAAAACTTTGAATTTTTACATTATACACTTCATATTTTCAGTTCATCTCTAAATGGTGTATTGTTGTCTGCCAGTGGAATTTTGGTGCAAATATCGTTGAATTAAAATCGAACATTGAATTAGTGCCCATACTTTTTTTTTGTTTGTCTAATAGTTAGTTCTGTATTTAAGCAACAGCTGAGTTTGATTTTAATAGGATTCAATTTTTAATTTTTTCCATAGGTCGGTGAATCCATCGGCTATCACGTTCGCTTGAACAAGAACTTGCCGAAAAATCGAGGTGCTGTCTTGTTTTGCTCTACCGGAATGCTTCTTCGCAAGTTAAGTTCTAACCTTAATCTTGAAGGTATAAGCCATGTTATTGTAGATGAAGTTCACGAAAGAAACATACAAATAGATTTTTTGCTAATTTTGCTGAAAAAACTAATAGAAAATAACAAGCATATTAAGATTATATTGATGAGTGCTACTTTTAATACCTGTGCTTTTTCTCAGTATTTTAATAACTGTCCAACTGTTCGTGTGCCTGGGAATGTTTTCCCCGTGAAGGATTATTTTTTAGAAGATCTGCAGTCTATTATTCCAGATATTAGTAACCTGAATAGAAAAGACCCAGTTCTTGATTCTGATCTTGTGGTTAAAGTTATAAATCATATTAATGTTACTCAGAAGCCTGGTGCTATATTATGTTTTCTTGCTGGTTGGAATGATATAACAACTGTGCATGGAAAACTTCTAGAATCTAATCCAGACTCATCAAAATTAATGATCTGTTCTGCTCATTCAAGGCTTCCACATAGTGAACAAAGGATTATTTTTGAAAAGCCTCCAGAAGGAGTTAGAAAAGTCATTCTTTCCACAAATATAGCTGAAACCTCAATAACAGTTGATGATGTTGTGTATGTGGTCGATAGTGGCCTTCATAAGAGCACGTCATTTGATGGTGAAAAAGGTATTGCATCTTTAGCAACGGAGTGGATAACAAAAGCCAACGTGCGTCAACGAAGAGGGCGAGCTGGTAGGGTCAAGTCTGGTATTTGCTACCATTTGTACGAACTCAAAGAATTCCATGATATGGCTGAATACCCAATTCCTGAACTTTTGAGGGTACCTCTTGAAAATGTCATTCTAAAGTGTAAGGTAAGTTTCAGATTATTTTTGGTGCAACATGGATACTAAATTCCATGTTTTATGGATATATATGTGCCTGATGAATAAAGCTTTTTAATGTGTATTAATTACTTTTTATTTAATGCCAGTTGTTAAATTCTAAAATTTTTGTGAATAGAGTATAACTTTAAAACATATATAACTATGCATCTGCTGCTGTTTATTTATTTATTTTGTTTTTCTATTTATTAATATTTGTACTTCCAAAGTAAAGGAAGTATTGTAATCACAAAAAATTTCAGGTATCATATTGAAAAATAGATTCAAAAGGGTATTCGTATGTATGTATCACGCATAATAAGTAGCCGTAGAACATTAAAATTTTGTATATGGGACTGATATAGCGTCTAGTTGTGCACCTCCCTTTTTTATTGCAATTGGCAGTACTAAACGTGTGAGTGTATATATATATTACACACACATTTACATATATATATATATTCACCTCCTTATTTGGCTTAAAAGTCCTTACCTGACTTTTATTTCTGCAATCGTTGGTTGTAGTCATATACTTCCAATTACAGAAGTAATTCAAAGGGCAAAAGTGTTCATGTTTTGACAATGTCAGATTTTTAAAAAATATAGAATGTGTCCATAAAAGTCCATGTGCAGCTTTTATTTTTACACCCATTGGTTGTAGGTATATACTTCCAATTACAAAAAAATGCTTTGAATACGAAAATAATTCATTTTATTATGTTTCTAAATTAAAAAAAAAAAATTACGAAAATTGGGAAATCTAACTTTTTTACTTCTTTTTTTAAAAACGTTCTTCCATCCTTAAATTCTCTCTGCCCTGCACCAGTTGCACTGGGTCTGGTGCCAGCCCTGAGCTTCTGGAAATGACCTGTCTACTATGTCAAGTGGAGCTTGAATGGGGGGGGGGGGGGTTCATAATGTTTGCCATCTTTATTGGTTTCTGCATTGTTGCTGTTCTCAGAATTGTCATGCAGATGTTTGGAAGATTGAAAGGAAGGTTTGATGATAATTTTAAGCACTTCTCTAATTTTGATTGGCATGAGCCTCAAAATTACCCCAGCATAAAAACCCTGATAAGCAGCAGTAGCCTGGCCTCTTCTACAGATAAATTTTCTAGTCATCTGGAGCTTTGGAATCATTGTTAATGGCATTGTGTGATTGTGCACTCTGATTTTCATGCAGAGTAACTCATTGGTACTATCATCTTGATGCAGTTTTTTTTAACTTACTCAGTTGTATTGTTTTCAGAAGAACATCGGTTCTGGTATCATCTGCTAATGCCTGCAGTACCATCATATAAGTTTAAATTGATACAGCATCTGAGCATTATATCTAAAATTAATTTGGGGACTTGGATTTTTTGCGTATTTTAAACCTGTTCTTCTGAATCGTTGGCTATATATTTTGTATTATTTGCGTATTTATGTCCGAGGCATTTATGTGTTGAGTTTCAAGATTGTTTGACAGTTTTGCTAGATGCATGGATTGTTTTAGTATTTCTGATATCTCTCTTCGAATAAAGTAACAGAAAAATTTTTGAAAGTGTAAAAAAATTTAAACAGAATTAAACAAGATGATGACACTAGAGATTCTTTTGGTGATATGAACAAAATAATGGAATTAGCGAAACACAGGTTTAGTGGAAGATCTTAAAGAAATTTTGCAAGAAACAGGCAGAAATTCTTTCTAATGATAAGCTCAAGGAATTAGCGAATCAAGAGCACAAAAATATTAAAAGTTGCAATTCTGAATTATTTATTGAAAAATTTGAAACTGATGCAGATTTTGAAAGGAGTTCAAAGGCAAGAAGGGGTGTCATGGATGCTTTGTTCTGATAGACAACTTCTTATGGAGCGCTAATGACATTAGATACCTTCTTGATAAAAAAAACAGAAAATTGGAAATGGAGAAGATTCTGAATGATCTAAAATATAAATGGTGACTTAAAATTTTATTTATTTCTATATATTCATTTGTTGTGTTTCACTATTTGTAAGAAATAAGTTTTTATTTTGTATTGTTATACAAAAATATTTAATGAATTTTAATAACAAAATGCTTGAACAATTTGTTTGATCTCGTTTAATGCTATTTCATATTGTGAAGTTTAAAAGAACTGGTACCATAAATTTGTTCAATCTTTAATTTTTTTAACACTTATTGTAAACTAGTAGCCAGTTTTAAAAAACAAACAATACAAAATTATCCAATTTGTTAGCTTCCTTATAGCAAAATAAAGGAATTACTTGAGTAAAGAATTTCAAAATTTTCTTCAAAAAATATCTTCATCCATTTTTTTTTAATGTAATGCTTAACATTTTTACCCCCTTTTTTTATAATTCAGCTGTATTTCTCAAATGAAAAAGCTGAAGATGTGTTATCATGTGCTTTGCAACCTCCCACTACTACTGCAATTCAGAATGGTGTGAATGAGCTTCAGGAATTAGGAATTTTGAATGAAGAAGAAATTCTGACTGACTTGGGAAAAATTGTTGTAAATTTTGGAACTCATCCTCGTCTATCTGTTGCTCTTATTTATGCAGCATTTTTAGGGTAATTATTAGTGTATTTTTACATATTATTGATTGTTTAATCATTTGCAAAATTTTAAATGTACCGGGTGGCCATAATTAAACTGACAGTGTTCACAGTGTTCTGTAGCGCGATCTATCTGCGAGAATGACGCCACATTTTGTAGGAAGATTAAACAAGACGGGGGACAAAGGATTCTGCAAAAAAACAAATTAGTTCCAAAAGTCACCGCTAGGGGAATATTTGGCGTTGTGTAATAAAAAATAGAGAGTTAACAAATGCAAATTAATACGGAATAAAATTACCTTTTATTATGCACATTTTCTGATTTAGTTCAAGTGCAATATGGCAACACTTTTAAAAAAGCGTAAAATCTACATAAACACTGATAAAGTCTCGTGATCTGCAATATCACGTACGCTGAGAAGAAGAAGAAGTTCTTTATTCAAATTTCACGTTATATCCATTCGCACAGTGCCAGCTGCTTGGGTTTTAAAAGGCAATGTGTTACGTTTCGAATCAATCAGATTGAAAGTTTATGTGCAATGTCTCCTTCTTTAGACGAGCGTGCGTTACTGGTCAAATTCTTTCACCTCGGCCAGTGCAACGTGTCAGCCGCTCTTCGTGCTTTTAGAACGCACAAAAAAATGCGTAAAGGTAACGGTCCTGTGTCAGTTAATGGGCTAAAAGCAATGGTTGTGATGTTTGAGAAAACAGGTTCTCTGAAGGTTCAGTCAGGCAGAGGACGAAAACCTGTACCACAGGATACAATCAAAGCAGTTGCCATGGAGATTGCCGACAGAGGACCAGACAATATTGCTGCCACCTCTAGCGCTCGTGGAGTAGCTCAAAATATGGATATGCCTTACAGTACGGTATGGAAAATCTTACGAAAGATTATCAACTTCTATCCGTACAAGATCAGCTGTGTATAGGAGTTACTGTACCCCAACCATGATAAGCGAATGACTTTTGCTCTCACCTTTCTTGCCAGAATGGAGGTGGATGATGCTTAGCCATGGAAAATCTTATGGGGAGACGAGGCCCACTTTTACCTGAATGGAACTGTGAATACCCAGAACTGCAGAATTTGGGATGACAAACCACCACATGCAGTCACAGCAATTCCCTTACATTCACCAAAGGTAACTGTTTGGTGTGGGTTCACAGCTTGATTTATCGTAGGTCCATTCCTCTAAGAGAACATTACCCCAACAGGACCGGAAACCTGTTCTGTTACTGGAGAGAAATATCGCCACATTTTGAACAGCTTTGTCATTCCGGCACTTCAGCAGAGACAATGCCTGGGGGTAAATCATTTTCATGCACTCCACACGTTGCTGTACGGGTGCAACAGATGCTACGACAGAAATTCACAACAGAAAGAGTCATGAGCCCCTACGTTCCAACTGCATGGCCACCTCGGTCGCCTGATATTACCCCATGTGACTTCTGGCTATGGGGTTACCTTAAGTCCAAGGTCTATCAAGGAGTGGTCCAGGACCTGGCTACGTTGAAGGATAACATATCACGGACTGTACAGGAGATTCCTGCAGACATGTTACTTTCTGCTAATGCAATATGTGGTCCACAACAACGGCAGCCACATTGAACCTCATTTGAATGCAAAATAAAAGGTAATTTCTGTATTGATTTGCATTTGTTAACACTCTATTTTCTATTACACAGCGCCAAATATTCCCCTAGCGGTGACTTTGTTTCTCCGCGGAATCCTTCATCTGCCGTCTTGTTTAATCTTCCTACAAAATGTGGCATCATTCTCGCAAATAGATCGCGCTACAGAACACTGTGAGCACTGTCAGTTTAATTATGGCCACCCGGTATTAATATTACATTTGAAAATTCGTATAATTTGACAAAATATTTTCCATTTGAATATTCTTATTGAATTTTTACAGTTATTTTTTTCCATAAATTTTTATATTTCTTTCCATAAATTAAATTTTGCTAATTTTTTTAATATTTTCATTCCATAAATTTCTTTTCAGAAAATATAATTCCTATGAGGTAAATTAATATACCTATATACATGGTTAATTTTATATTTTCATTCTATAAATTTCTCTTCCATTTTCTTTTCAGACAACTTTCCAGAGAGAATTCCTATGAGAGAAATTAATATATTTATATATATGATGGACCATAACTATCTATTTACATGGTGGACCATAAATTGTGTAGGTTCTCGCCACCTCCAAACCCATAATTTTGTTTACCTATGGAGGAATAATTAATAATTTGTATCATAATTAAATTTTCAAGAAAATCTGCATTCTCATAAAACAACTTCTGAATCTGTAAAACAAATATGAGCATTGCCTATTATCTGTCTGTTTCAGTTATTGTGCCAGTCGCACTTTTTAAGCAGACAGATGCAAATCATTTTTTAAAATATGGTGCAGTGTCATTCAACTCGATCTCAATGCGGCCAGCCCTTCTCGTGAAAACCTCAGGTACTCCTTCGACACTCCTCTGAACCCATTCAGTTGCTACATGTGTTCTTGATAAACAGGTTTGCTTGATCAGTGCAAATCAGCTACCAATCTCTGAAACATCCAGTCAAATGACTAATTATTAATTCAAAAGGTGCATCCGTGACATAAAACTGGCAGTGATATGCTACCTGTGTTAAGAAACTGACCTCTGGGTTTCAAAATATAGTTCAATAATTTTCATTCTTTGTGCAACTGTAAATTTTTTCATCTTGAATTTCTTGTAATGTCTACTTCATGCAGTCTGCAAAATAATAGGAAAATGGTAATTAGAACATTTTCTCCATGCTTCTACTATGGCGATCACAAGAAACATGCACATTAATCTTATTCTCGTGGAAAATATTGTGTATTGCAACCTTTGCTTGAATTATGAACCACCTTGTATTTTAATCATGAAAAAATGTAACACTGCGCTACATCAGGTGAATACGAACTCTGTGGAACCATAGAATTTTTTACAAAAAACAGCAAGAATGCAAGTGTATTATTGTTGTAGTGAAAAATTCACGAGTTTTCTCATCATAAATCAAGTTGTTTTCTATGAAAGCTTTCACTCGGATATTGTAGAACATTCACATAATAGTGTTTATGAACAGTTTGGCCAGTTGGTAGAAATTCATCATGCATAATGCCCTAACTTTAACTTGAGAAAACAGTTAACGTTACCTTCAATTTTTAATCAACTGTGACGTGTTATTTTTGGTCTTGCTCAGCTTTTCATATATCGTTTACTTGATTGTTAAGCTGTTTCTCCAGTAAAAGGACAGATCTACAGGGGTTGGACAAAAATATGGAAACACCTTTAAAAAACATGTTTCTTTGCTTAATATGGTGTAGGAAACCCGTTGGCATCCAAAACAGCTTGCAGTCTTCTCAGAATGGATAAATACAGTTCCTGTATGTTTGCCAAGGGAATATTGTACCATTCTTTCTGCAAAACGGTGGCAAGTTCAGATAATGATGTTGGTTGGTGGATAACGAGAACGCACTTTCCGTTCCAATGTAGACCACAAAGGTTCGATAATATTCAGGTCTGGTGACTGTGGTGGCCAGGGGAGATGGGACAACTCATCCTCGTGCTCAGAAAACCAGTCCTGGACAATGTGAGCTGTGTGAACAGGGGCTTTGTCGTCTTGGAAGACACCATCACCATCGGGGAACAAAGTTTGTACCATGGGATGAACTTGATTGGCCAAAATGTTCACATAAGTCTTGGCAGTCATGTGCCCTGACACAGTTATCATGGAGCTAGCAGAGAACCACGATATGGCTTCCCAAACCATAAGAGAACCCCCGCCATGTTTCACTCTTGGCAACAAGCAGTCTTTATTATAGGCTTGAGATGGCGTTCTCTAGACGTAAACTCGGCCAGAAGTGGGAAACAATGTGAAAGAAGACTCGTCAGACCATATTACTCGCTTCCACTGCTCTATAGTCCAGGCTTTATGACTTAAACACCACCTTTTCCTGTTACGGGCATTAGCATCACTGATGAGTGGCTTCTCAATTGCAGCACGGCCAACAATTCCCTATTTATGAAGCTCCCTTCTAATTGTTTTGGTACTCACAGGGTTCGGTAACACAACATTCATTTCAGCAGTAACTTTTGCAACTGTGGTCTTCTTATTTTTCGTCACAATTGCCCTTAATGATCGTCTGTCACGATCACTCAGGACACACTTTCGTCCGTGCTGTGATTTAGCAGATAATGTATTTCTGCTTTTCAAATATGCGGAATAAATCTTCGATACAGTACCTCTTGAAACACTAAACACCTCAGCTACCTTGCTTACGGAAGCACCTACCATACGTGCTCCAACAATTTGCCCACGTTCGAAGTCTGTTAACTCTGACATAATGCAATGACAACCTCACGTAACAGTACTCCGACAACAACTGAACTGTTTAGCACATTTACGAAGTTGTATAGATGGTGTCAGTAGTCAAAAACGCCAGTGCCACCTACATATTTCATTAAAATTCAATTCCGTCGGGACCTACATATTTCATTAAAATCAATCTTTCTTTTCAAACATGCATTTCACAAGGTGTTTCCATATTTTTGTCCATCCACTGTATGTTTTTCCGCTGACAGTAATGGACTTTAAAGAGGATTTGCTTTGAGAAAGTGGTTTTCTTTGGCCATCTGAAGCGTTTTTGCTTTTGGAAAAAATTCAGCTTTTTTGGAACAACTTGTGCAGCATGTTACGAGCGAAATGTTTTTTTCAAAATTGCATGACAGAATCCAAATAGGAACTTATTTTATAATATTTGTAATTGATTAACAGTGGTCAATAAGCATGTAATCTCTGACTTTATTGATGTGTTTCCCACTATATGTCACAGATGGTCAAAAAGAATGTGCTTCATCTTTGATGCACTTTCTGCTTTCTTTAAGCATTTTATATCACACAAAAAGTCTTGGTTTTTGATAATGGAATGGCCAGTAATTGTTTCCCATTATTCTGAGCAAACTGGGGGGGGGGAAGGTCAGGAAAAAAAAAGTAATGTACAGGATTACTATGAAATAAGTGTTCTTACTGAGAGCGATCTTTAGAATTATCTAAATGTCACAAATAGAATGAACATGAATTAGACACTGGGTTAACAATTTGTATTACAATTTAAAAAAAAAAAAATATTCGAAATGTCAGAAGTAAGGAAATGTATAGGGTTGCATGAAAAGAAATGGCATTAAAATTCACAGAGAACTGAATAAGAATTGGCCATAATTAAAGACCTTTTTTATGTACAGTCAAAAGTTGTTAATCCGGACTCGTCGGGACTTTGACGATTCCGAATTATCGATTTTTCCGGATTATAGATCATCAGTTAATCTGGTAATTTATATCAGTTAATCTGGTAAGACGGCATGCAGAAATTATAAAATTAAAAATATGAAATGGTTATTTATGAAATAAAGAACAATTATGATCTAAAGGGTATCAAAATTTACAAAACAAAACAAAAAAAAAGCTTAATATTTATTTGTTTACTTTATTAAACATTTCTTCCAATGTAAGTTGTTTAAGTTGCTTCGTTTTTTATGTGATAATACATTCTCTTTAATTCTATAAACAGATATAATTTCTTGTTCAGTTACAAAGTTCCGCTGTTCAAGTCCTATAATTGCTGTGTTGAGAATACTGACTAATTTGTCAATCGAAATTTTTTCGTTTTCAATAACCTCTCACTTTCTTTGCTATAGGAAGCGAATTATAATGATGAGGAATTTGATTTAAATCATATCAAAGGAGTACATCGAGATGAAATACTACATTTAGTACGGAATTATAAGCCAAATAAAATAAAAACATCTGCCCTGATGATAAGGATAGTGCTGATAGATCAACTTCCAATTCATTGCGCACCATCGCAGCGTTAAAGATAAACAAAGTTTAGACAAACAAACATTAAAGTTTAGATAAACAAAGGATATGCCTTTATCCATTTTTTTGCAGCAATTCCACTTTTTGTTTAATAGACTTCGAAACATACTTTCGCTTTGTAGATCCTTTACATATTAGTAAATATATATCAGAAATTCTATTTGACATAATCGAAAGTTCAAGCTTACTTTTATAAAATTGCTCTAACAGTTTGCAAAAAATAATAAGCCGAATCCAATTCGAAGATTAAGGAACAACACAATAAACTGAATTAAATAATTTTAGCTTAGCTTATACCGTCCTGTATTCATTAAATGCGCATTCGTAAACGTATTTTGCGCACGCACACACGCATATTCGCAGCCGTAAAGGTCTTATGCGCATGCGTCAAGGCGATGCATGCGCAGAAAGTTTGTATCTTTGAGGTCTGGATTATAGATCATTCCGGATTATGGGTGCCCGAATTAACGACTTTTGACTGTATTATAAGACCCCTAAGGGTAGGAAATTTTGGTTAATTACATGAGAAAAATTCTTATGCAATTCATAAACATTAACTAATTACCTGTTGATGAAATAGTAGATACTTCTTGATGCAGCAACCTTTTGTGGAATTCCATTCCCATATAGTATATTATGCATTCAATGACAGAATATAACACATCTTGAAGAATATTCCTCTTGTATTCAGTCAGGCTATCAGATAAGAAATACTATGATGTTAGGAATTGGCTTTCTATTATCTTCACAGCCCGGAACCCATGGAATAATCTGAGGAGAAAAATAGTCCCTTTCTCCAGTGAAGAGGTTTTGAAATACTACTGTAATATCAGTGCAGTGTGGTGAGCTGTTCCATCTGTTATTAAATAATGAAGAATTCATATGTTCCTTGCACTGGGGAAAAATGATGGCATTTAGATTCACCAAATTTTGAACATGCATGATCCTCCACCGAACATGTATACCTTGAAGTGGTAATTTTGAATTTGCTTTATTTATTTATTTCACGGTTCGTGCAAATTCAATGAATATTTGACTAATAAATTCAGTGTGTTGCCACACAAGATGTTTCATATTTAATCTGAAAAACTTGGGGATTTAAAAGAAATATTTTGACACTTGACAAAATGTAAGGTATTTGTCTTATGAATTTCATTAACAAACTAGTGGTTTAAAAGAAATATATAGCCACTGCTGGAATTATAATATTATATTTTTATCTCCCACAGCCAATTTGTTGTTATTAGGCAAAGCATAATGATTTGATTTCTCTTTAAAATTAATTCTGTCTGTTACTGATAAACAAACTAAGTAATTTAAAAGTCATAAATGCAGTTTTCCTTTTATATTATTATTCATTATTAGCTGAACCTGTGAAATTATACTAGTGGGACTCATTGAAAAGCTGATTTAACATTATTTAGCTGATTTGAACATTATGAAAACACTAGAAAGACACTCAACTTTTCAACAGATCACTAATAAATGATTTTGAATTGTTAAAATATTGATTATATATAAAGAATTTGTTTATTTTTCTCTATATGCTAATGCAGTGCACAAACTTTCTTTGTAGCTTCAAGACAGTTATGGTGCTTATTTTTATACAAATTTAACTGATTCTATTCCTTTTTCACTGTGCTCTGCATTTCTCCGATGGTAACGTTTTGAACTAGCTGTTTTATTCCCTCATAAATTTGTTCCCTATGTCATTATGGATACACAAGTTAGAAGTTTGATACAATATTTGCTGTTAAAATTATAAAATGTTCTGAATAAGTTAAATGAATTGTGTGTCTTTCTCTTGTGTTTTTGTAATTATATCAATACATAAAAGATTTTTTTAAAGCACACATCTTGTTTTATCACAGTTACAGTGCACTATGATAATTGCAGTGTTTCATTATAATGTGATTTTTTTAAATTCCGCCTCCAAAGAACATTAGCCCAGAAAGGCTATTAATTTCAAAACATCATTTTGTGTCAGTTCACTTTTCAAACTGCTGCCACCAAACATTATCGCCATGTATTAGATTTAAAGAAACTAAATAATGAAGAATGTGCATGAATGTTTCTTTGTATTGTGAAGAAACAATGGTACTTAGAGCCATCAAAGTTTGAATAACGTAGACCTCCAACTGTACATGGGCACTTGGAAGCCTGAATTTTGAATTTTGAATTTGTTTTATTATCTATTTAAAATTTTGTAAAACTTTAATGAATTTTTTATTCACAAATTCGATGATTTCAAAGCGAGCAATGGGAACTGGGTAGAGAAAAATCATTTTTACCTCCAGGCATGAGACTGTTAATCGGAAATTCTAAAGATATGCTGTTTTTAAATATTTTGTGATATTGCTGTTGAAATGAGTTTAATGTGTTTTAAGTGTGAGGAACACAATATTTAATAAATATAGGTAACACACAAAATGTTAACATGAAAAGCTTTCATATTTTTTTTAATTCCCCCTCCCCTCAATTCTATCCCCTTACCCAAGCTATGAAAAATTACTGCGAAACTAAGAGATTTTGTGTTTTGCAATTAATGCTGTACATTTATTTCTTCTGAAACTTATTGCATGCTCTGCTCTTTATTTAGTTGAAACTATTCAGATTCCATGTGAAATTTTAACATTCCATTTTTAGGTGCTTGAATCCAGTTTTAAATATTTCTGCAACACTGACATTTGGAAGAGAGCCGTTTATGAATACGTTAAAAGATCCAGGTGTTATGAAAGAAGTAAGATGTTAAAATTTAAGTATAATTTAAATACTGAAAGGAATGTTTTATTATAACTGATCTAAAAATAACTGATCTTTCCATAACCTGAATTAAAACTAGATTTTCCCCCCTCTGCTAATGAAATACTGTGTAATTAATATATAATTTCAAATCGCAAATGGCCAATTTTCAAATTTTGCGTACATATGCTGCCCAAGAAGAAAAGAAAGAAAAGTCATAATTTGAGCTATGCATTGCATAAAGATGACTATAAATATATTTCTGCAGTTTAAAATATAAGAAAATCAATTGAAATTTTTTAGTTATAAATTTAGCAAATCAATAAAAATAATTTTTCTTCCACTTTATGTCAAGTCCATTACCTTAAAGTTATTTTACCCACAATTAGTTTGTAAATCTGCCTAAAGGGGGCAGTGCATATTCAAACTAGTCAAACTTAGCTTGACTAGTTTATCTATGTTACTAAATATGTACTGCCCTTTTTATACCCCCTTTAAGCAGATTTACAAACTAATTATGGGTGACATAATCTCAAGGTGAAGTGGAAGACAGGTTCTTTTTATTAATTTGCTAAATTTATATCTAAAAAATTTCAATTGATTTTCCACTAAAAATTATTTAGTTTAAACAATTTCCACTAAACAACACAAATTCACTCCAAATTAGTGAATAATTTTTTATTAACCTGAAAAGAGTATTAGTCTCAATACATGATTTTATATTGTTTCACTTTAATGTGTTGTTTCACTTTTCATTCAAGTCAGTGGCCATTCGGAAAAACGTAAGGTATACTTTCATATATAATCTGTTTGATGTTAACTAAAAAACTAAACTACTTAAAAGCAATAGATGCATTTCTTAAAAATATTATTTTTTACTTTTTAACCTGATTGATCTATATAAAATGCATTTTTGATACATATAAATAAGAGCATTAAATATTTTTGTAGATTTATGTATTTTTTCACTTTTTAAATCTACAGATATATAAAGTTCTCATTGTTAGTTTAAATGTATATTTATTTAACATTAAATAAAATGTTTTGCTATTCGACTGAGTCATCTTTATCAACAATCTACTGATAAACCATATTAAACTGTAAAGGAGCCATTTTGACAATAATTCAATTTTGAACCCTTTAAAAATAATAATAATTTCTTTTTATTTGTTACTTTCATCACCATATGGCTATCAACTCATGGCAGCTTGAGAAATGGCTCATGGTACAATGTCTGAAATATTTTTTTTAATATCAGATATTTAAATATTAGTTACCAAATATCAGGGTAATCTTTTATGTTGACTTTACGTTTGGTGACGATTACTGAGTTCACCCAGCTGCTCTGCAAAGTGTTAAGTGTGTTGTCGAGAAGAAATTTAACAGAAATTTCCTTCCATGCACAAAAAATAGATTTTGTGAAGTAACATTCATATGCCGAAAGATTAAATTCAGCAATGTTTGAATTAAGAATAACTGATTTATAGTGCATTTAAACCTTAAATATAGGTGGGAATTTATTTATACAGTACATAAGCCATAAGCAAATGCAGGAAATAGATGTAAGTATAATGAATAATAAAACTAATAAAATTCAGGTTTAGCTTTTTTGGCGTGCAATAGAAGTGAAACAAAATTTAGCAGAACAGCATTCGTTTTGTCCCCAATCTCATGATACATTCCCAATAGTGTATAGCAGATGCTAGCTAAACTTTATGACGATAGTCTCAGATTAAAAGGTTCATGAATATAAAAAAAGCAACATTTTCCAATTAAGGAAATTTGTGGAGAAATGGAAATGAATGAAAATAATATAATAGAAGTTTTTCTTTGTGATGACTGCGGTACAGGACCTCAATCAACTAATGGGCAGCAAAATGTGTAGTATCATTTTAAATCCAGAAAATATCGCTGCTGATAGTGAAGAACGTAAGTTGGTGAGAATTTGCTGAGAATGAAAAAATGTTGATTGTCAATTTAGTGAGAATTCTCTATACAGTAATTGCAGGATTTGAACAATAGAATTTTTATAACTAAACAAGAAGTTATGTCTCTCTATAGAATTAAAGAGAAAATGCTAGTACAAACAGAAAAAAAAGAAAGGGAACAAAAAAAAAAAAAAAAAAAAAAAGCAGCAGCTTTACCAACTTACATTGAAAGAAATGTTTAGTAAAGCAAACAAAATAAATATAGAGCTTCATATTTTTAATTTTTCAGTTTCTATATGTCATCTTACTAGATTTAAACTGATGATCTAAAATCTGGAAAATTCTGAAATCCAAATTTGCTGAAGTTCTGAAGAGTCCTAATCTTGGATTTTGTACAGTAATTTTCCTTTATTTGTGAGAATTATGGAATGGCCTCATCAGAGACTCATTGATGGACAGAACAAATTTGATAATTTCACAGCTAATACTGTTCTCAAAATGAGGAATATTTAATTTTATGATTTTTTCTATTGTGTATTTACTGGGAAATCTCATTCCAACTTCTGTTATTGTAAAGCTTATTCTAGAAATCTAGCTTATTCTAATTGTGAACCTTGGTAGAAGTAAGTTTTTGTAATAATCAACTAGACTGTTGCTTTATTTAGTAGCTCTTAAATCTTGGAACATCTAAGAAATTTCTGTGTATAAAATGGTTTGTTTTATTTTATTATTGCAAAGTATATGAGAGCTGTTTGTCAAAGGGGAAGGATGCCTTCATTTCTAAGGAGAACTGGCTCGTATTTACGTTACACACGGGGAAAGCCATGAAAACACCCAATGCAGTCTCATTTGAATTACCAAATTCAGCTACTTTACTACTTGGCTAATGGTGGGTGGATATAAAATGGATTAAAGCTGATGGTTAGGTGTTTGTTTCAAGAACTGGTGTTGTTGAAATTCTGACTAATATTTAAAGTAAATCTAGTGTTTAATAACACTGGATTTCTGAGGTTAGAAATTTTTATCTCATATTTATGTAACTCATGTGTAATTTATGTATCTCATATGTAAATAAATGGTTGTTAAGAAACTTCTTTAATGTGGAATATTATTTAGAATGTATACAATATATAGCAAAATGCCACGACCGTAGTGCATGCCGAATCATGTTATATATTTAAAAGCAACCTGTATATGAGCATATATAGTCAGTTGATGCTGTAAAAATTAGTTTATAGATTTGTAGTTATAATGTACTGCTGGACTTTTTGAATTTAAAAATTAATTATTTATTTTTTATTAGTATGTAAATTACTTTATTAAAATGTAAAATTTTGGGGAGAGGAACTCTTTTTAAAAAATTTTAATATTTGTTATTTCAGATGAAGCAAGCACATGATAACTTCTTATATAGTGACCATTTAGCACTCAGCAAAATCATTGATACTTGGATTGAACTGAAGGAAAAGTCTGATGCCTCTGATTATACAGCAAACAATTTATTAGATGAAAATAATTTGGCTTTCATTAGAGGTAGGTTTTTTGTTTTAATGTTCGATATAATTATGCTCATTTTCAGTTTTGTATAAGTGGATATTTTTTTTAATGGGTAACAACTTTATTATTGTTGAAACAAGAAGTAGAGGTTTGTGCCAAATGCAATGCAAAAATGAACCTAGCTTACCTATCAATTGCCATAGATTTTCAAAGTGCATATATTATTAATGTAATTGTTAATCATTTAGTTCCTGACAAAGAAAGATGCAGGTTGTAATGTTGTGAAATGCTAATAATTTGCATGTTCTACCTTTTGTGTAAAGTTCATGTTTGTTTTACATTTCTTCATGGAAATAACAGCAAAAAAAAAAAAAAAAAAAAAAAAAAAAAAATCAATGCCCTTAACATATTGAGAGTTATGAATAATTACTTACAAGTAATCCTTAATTAAATTAATTATTTACAAATAATAGTATTAATAAAAGTAGTTTTTATTGATATGTTTTTTTGTAATTTTGTTATTAAGTCATTATTAGTTCATGTCTCTAAATACTTTTACGTAAAAGAATATTTAATATCTAAATATTTTTAGATAAAATAAAAGTCTAAAATATGAATATTTTAGTCTAAATGTTTTTAATATCTCTAAATATTTTTATGTGAAAAATTTCAGCTATAAATAAAGCCATAAAAATTCAAATTATATGTTTTTTTTTTTTTTTTTTTTTTTTTTAATTGCAGATTTAAAAGGTTTGTTTTCTGAAGACCTTTATTCGGCTGGCATTTTAGACAAGCAAGAAGCATATCGTGATCCATTACATAAATGCAATTCTAATAGTAGCCATATTCGAAGTATTCTAGCTGCTCTTTCTGCTGCATTTTTTCCTAATGTGATGAAAATCAGTCAAGGGGAAATAGCTCATGGGAAATTTAAGAGAGATACCATTACTTATTCTCTTTTGTAAGTAAAGTTAAATTCAAAGTTTTAAATGTAAAACTCTAGTCATAATTTGCATTACCAGAATGCAGAAAGGAGCTGCATTATAAAATGTAAATTTTGAATTAAAATTCTGTCAGATGTTTGAAGCATCATATCAAATTGGCTTGAAAGTTGTTGAATGACTTGATGATGAATTCCATCAAGTTGTTGCTTTGACTTGAAAGTTTTCCTAAAACCTAGAACTTGCTTCATCTGTAGTTAATTAATATGAAATGCAAAGTACTGAAATAATAACAAAATAAAGCATTTTAATTCTGAATGTAAAATTGTAATTGGTAGTTAATTTATAGTGTAATGAAAAAATTAAAAATATAGTCTCTTATGCAACAAGTTGTCATATTTAAATAATTGTGTACATAAATATTTGATTTTTAAAATTTTAATGTAATTAATTTTTTTTTTTTTTTTTTTTTTTTTTTTGTTGAATTTTTCTCTTTTTTTGATGAAATGTGCAGAGTTTTATCCCTGTGACTGCTTATCCTGGAATTTTCATAGGCAATATAAATGTAGCAAAATTTCTTCCTGCAGGCATGCATTTATTACCTCTATTAAAAGTGTATCATGCTGTTTCAAAGTTTAACCATTAGTAATGAATTTTATGCAGTATTTGGACTTTAAATCACAGATCATTCAACAAATGAGGCTGATAGTCCGCTAAATTTCATATATTTGCATAAAAATTGTGAATCGATATTTAGATTTCAAATATGATGTTAAAAGTATGCAGTTTTTGAAGTGATTTAGTTGTAACAATTGAACAGTGAGAGCGCTGAATAAATAAAAGTATAGATACACATATTAAAATTTTAAGAGTGAAGAATAGAATTTGGATTAGAATTGGATTTGTTATTAGGAGGGTGGATACAATAGAATTTTGATATTCCACACATCTCAGAACTAGAGCTTTTGTGGATTAAGTGCCTTGTCTTTCTTTGTTCTCTTTACACTTTTCTTTTCTAACTTTATGTTTAATCTACATTCTTTTCACTTAAAGAATTAACTGAAACACAATTTTATCTTAAGTTTTTATTTAATCAAGATTTATTGAATATAAAACTATTATAATCTTATATGCATAATTATGTGAAAAGGAAATAATGTCTGTATAAGGTGGAAAGTAGTGGAAATCTTTTGAGGAAATAAAAATACATCGAAGAACTTCATGTAAGAAAAATTGTTGTGAAGTAAAAAAAAAAAATTACTTAAATGTAATTTTCATGTTGTACTTAAGAGAAGTTTTTATGCTATAAATGAGAGGAAAAAAAATACAAATACATGGTTAACAAAGCTGAATTAGTTAATGATTTCTATAAATTCTGCCATCACATTCCATGCATGTAAAACTGAATTAATAATGCAAATGCCATAAAAGTGTCAAAAACAGAAGTTTTATTATTAACCCTCTAACTGCATACTTTTTTTTATCAAATTAGGTTCAAAAATTGCATATTTTTTTATTACATATTTCAAATCTACATATACTTTAAAGTTAAAATATACAAAAGTTTTTTGTAAAACAGTTTTTTTTTCCTCGATATAGAATTAGATCATAGAAAAAGTTTGTCAAAATACTGAAATTGAAGAATAATGATACAAAAGGAAAATTTTGAAAATTAATATTGGTTAAATTATGATTTATTTTATAAAATACAAAGGTAAAACATATATACTACTGAAAATATTTGCATAATGTAATATTTTACATATCAATTTTGCGCCACTGTCGAACATTTTCAATAGAAACTGAATTTTCAGATTCATTACTATTTGCCAAGGAATCCGAGAAATTCTCATCAGTTTCGCTATAACTGTCTTCAATATACTTGAAATCAGAGTCAAAACTACTATCAGTGTTGGAAATATCATCAGGAACATAGGTTATATCACTCGCAAAACGCTTCCTGCCAAACATCTTTGATCTCTGAAAAGCATGCGCAAAATGCTACATTATATATTCTTGTATATTTGGCAGAAATGGGGACAGCTAACGCCATCTGTTAGCCCACATCTAAATAAACAATTAAACATCACGGGCAAGCCAAAAGGAAACTTTGAACGTGGAAAGAGCGGGTTGCACAGTTAAATAGACGGCAAAAATTAATCCCCATGGAAATCGGGAAAGGTTTAAAAGGAAATCCCCCCCCCTTTCCTTGAGTGCTCACCAGCAGCCGAGCAGTAAAATTGCTGAATGCTGGTCATTTGGTCTTGGGTTTTGAATCTCAGCAAATGGACTAGCTGTCTGGCCTTTTTCGTGGTTTTTCCCAAGTGTGATATGTATATGATCTGGTTTTCCTTAAAACATCCTCCATGAAGGCATCCCTTCCCTCGGGCAGATAGCCCTCAAGTGCTTTGCTATAATTAAAATTTTTTTTAAAAAAACTTATCTATATTTTCTGTTTTTAATGACACAACAACCTTTAAAAGTACGTTTTTTCAAGAATTTATCCCATGATATAAACCCTTCTTATTTATTGTGTTGAATGTGAACAATCCAGCTAGGTGGTACATTTAAGTTTAAATGCAGTGCTTGAAGAGTTGTGGACAAATAAATCCTTCACATGTGCAACCTAATTTTAAAATTAGCCATGTAAATTCAGAAATAATATTAAGAGACAGCAGAATATGCATCCAAAAGTAGAAATTTATTTAAAGAAAAAAAATTTGCTGATATCTGTAATCTGTGTTTATTATTAAAAAAGTGCTATGTAAGCACAGAAAACTTTCAGCAATAAAACAAATTCACTTTTTCAATCTAAATGTGTTGTAAATATAATATATTTTTGTATAAAAGTTTATTTTCAGATACATGTAAGGAAAAAACTGCCTTTAAATTTTTCTTTCTGAATTTTCTGAAAATCAAAATTTTGTTTGTTTACTTTCAAACATTCAAAATTGTATGCTGATTATGAGCATTCACAGATTAAGCAACTGCAGATTATTGGAATTTTTCTGTATACTAAAGTAGCATGTACACTTTTATTCATTTCTGATGTCTAATCTTCAAGGATATTTTGCTTATAATATTTTTATGAATAAAGAAAATAGTTTAAAGTTTATAATGTAAGAGAGCTAAAAGTACTGTGTGTCGTTGTTGCCGTATACTTGTTCTGTAAGTTGTTATTAAAAAATAAGTCCTCTTTTTTTTTTTTTTTTTTTTTTTTTTTTTTTTAAGGAAAGGCCAGCGTGGTTATATTCAAAAAGAATCTGTAGCTTCAAATGAATATGAACTTCCCTCACCATGGCTTATTTATTTCTCTGCCTTAAAATCAGATGCTCGCAGATTGATGATGACTTCAACAGTTTCATCTGTGCCAGGGCTGTGCCTCTTACTTTTTAACAGGCAAAAGCTTATATACAGCATGGTAATTTTATGATCATAAATCACTTTAAGCCCACTATTTTTAAAACTTAATTATGAACTAGACCTTTCAGCAATATCAATCATCATCTATTTAATATTTCTGTTGTAAGTATTATGTTTCATCTCATGTGTGAGAATTGAGTTATGTGTAAATTCTTGCATTGTGTGTGAAAAAATGCTGTTGGTTAGTAATTTTTTTTAATATTTTGTATTTTCAATAGACTATTTTTATTTATTTCATCTTAAGTATTGTATGTGCTTAGTAAACAAAAGTCTAAATGAATTCAACCATATCAGATCTAAAGACTGAGATGACAAGAGCTATAAAGTGAAAATCCAAATGTATTAACTTTACATGTGTAGGTACTTCAAAATATTCAAAATGACTGCACTGCAGATAAGCATTTTGTAATTACAAGTTAACATAGGATTTCCTGCACATATGTGCTTTGTGGTATCAGTCTGAGTACATAAAGCAGTGCATCCTGGTTGCTGATTTGTGTATGTTTTTCCTTAGGGCATCCTGTGATTTTTGTGATATCCTCAACAAACGGGTTACTTTTGTTTTCTTATAAGGAAACCTGCAGCATCCTTGTTGCTTCCCCAATTTTTTTAAAGATGATGATTTTAATGATTCATAAATGCACGAGTGGTTTTTCTGCATTAAAATATTACAGCATACAAAATGAAGACTGCTATGACTCTGATCTTCTGATGAGCATGATGATTGAGATCTTCTGATGAGCAGAAATGAAGAAAATATGGGAAAAGTAAAACATGTTATTACTAAAGATCATTTTTTAAAACCATTGACCATATTTCTGAAGAAACTATTATCTGATAGCTTTGGGAGGGAGGAATAACAGGGCACTTACATTACTTTAGCAACTTTATTCTACTCCCAGAGTTAAAGAGAGCTCTTAAAAAGCCTGCATTCATTGAAAACTAATCTATGTTAGGAGCTTTAAAACTTTCTGTGGTGGAAAAAAATTTGGGAAAAGTGAACTCGTTGAAAGGAACTGAAATGTGTAAGCAGTGTATTAAAGTGTAACCTAATTGCTTGAAATTCCTCTTTGTGTAATCCTCATAGAACTGCTTTGCTGTTACAATGAGGAAAAAAAATTGTTTGAACAGAATATAAAAGATCTCAAGTGCAATCACTCAGTGAGTTACTTTTCTGAATTCGGAATTCAGTTAAATTTTCTCAAATACTGTGGTTCAGTTAAACCAATCAGAAGCCCGTATTTTTGTAAACATATAGCATTTCACGATACAGGCTTTTGATTGGCCAAATTTCTCCATCGTAATTGCGAAAATTTAGCTGAATTCCGCCCTTCATCTGATTTCATCTGAAGCTGAAAATTTAGCTGAATTTTACCCTTCATCTGAAGCCATGGATTTACGAAATATAGATTTTTTTGTGTTCATACGATAGATTAATGAAGAAGCTAACATAAAACTGACAAATTTTATACTGTACTGATATTTTGTGTAAAAAAAGTACATTAAAGAAGGAAACGTAAAATAAACTTTATTCAATTTGGGGTCCCGGGATAACTGCCTCATGTGCCCTTGCCTTAATCAGGCTCTGGACTGCCCCATGGCTCACCTCTAGCTATGCCACTGTGCCAGAGAGTTGTATAAACAATTTCTATTTCATCTTTAGACACAGAGGCTAGTGGTAGTACTGTTTACTGGGAAATGACTTGCTGTTGTTTTCCTCAGCTGTATTGCTACCAAGGCCAGAGCTGGTGCAGTTGATATAGTTATGGCAAAATGTACAGGTGAAAGAATTTTTAGAACCAGGCTGCAGAATTTTGGAATCATATAGTTTGTATCTGCCAGCAAAAAAACTAGTTCTAGGCCTGAGTGCTGCTAAGCAGTAGAGAACACCTTTCAATCCTGATGGTATTAGCAGTGGTACATATATCATTCCTTGACTCTTGTAAATCAATGGGAAAATATTCTGTGGTGCCTTAAGTCACAGCGTATGATCTAGGTGCATATAAAGGTGTATAAAGGTGGTTTAATCTAAGATTGTTTTTTCCTTTTTCGAATTATATATTTAGTTTTAATACCTAGATCTATGAAGTCAAACAAAAAGTTTGAAAAGCAAATTATTGCATTTTAAACAACAATGCAATAATGTCTGTCCACACTGTGGCACTTAAGTCAGTTTAGTCACTAAAGTCACTGTGTTTTTAGATCCAGTCATTGAATGCTTGGGATTTGTTGGAGTATCGGTTTACATCAGACATTCTCGATCATCACCACTTGCCAGGTGTGTGACATGCTGCAGAAAAATGAGAAATAAATCATTGCATCAATTTTACTAGAACCTATAGAAAAGACTGTTCAAAGAATAAAAGCTATAATGACAAAAAAAGCCAGCCAGCTGTGATAATGATTAGTGACTCAGACTGCCATACTGAAAGGCCCAGAGAAGGCATGAATGTATGTAAATCTTTAGTGTCTGTGCAGCATGGGAGCATTCTAAATATGTGGTGAGCCGAAAGTGCTTTCGAGAGACTGGTGATAGGGGAAGAGAGGTGGCAGACCCTGAGACATGTCCCTCCCCTTAGGGTGCTTTCCTTGAAAATTGAGGGGCAGAACCGAGCAAAGTCATACTATCACCAGTTTGGTGCTCAAGGCTCTTTCTTGCTAAAGACAAGTGCATTTGACTCCTTGCCATGTTGAATGTCATGGGCTTTGTTGGCCTTTGTGAAGAAAAGTGAAGAAGAAGAACCCTGTGAACAGAGAAGTGATATTGTTAAAAACAGCAACTACAAGAGGGGGGGGAATCTGAAAGGTTTTATATTTTAAATTATGTCCAAAGGTTTTTTTTTTTAACGTTTGTGTGTTACCTTTATTTATTAAATATCATGTTCTACGTACTCAAACTATAAAATTCAATTCAATAGCAATATCACAAATTAATTCTCAAATGAGCATATCTTTAGAATTTCTGATACAGAGTCTTGCGCACTGGAGATAAAAATGTTTTCTTCATACAGTGCTCGCTTTGAAATCGTTGAGTTGTTAATCAAAAATTCATTGAAGTGTTACAAAATATGAAATCAATAATAAAACAAATTTTAAATTCAAATTAGGGCTTCCACATGGCCATATTCTATGGAAGATTATGTTATTCAAATTTTCATGGCTCTAGGTACCGTTGTTTTATCACAGTGCGAGAAATATACATACATTTATGCAAATTCTTCATTATTTAATTTCTTTAAATATAAGACAGGGCAATAATATATGGTGGCAACAATTTGAAAAATGATACAGCCTTTTAAAGTTTTCGATGCAAAGTGCCAAAACGAAATTAATAACCATGCAGGGCAAGTTGCCCCTTTGGACTGAAAAAAATGAAATTCAGCTGTGTATTAGTAAACTCTTATAATCTTAACCATCAGCAGTTCATGTCAGGGTATTTTGGGCTGATTTGTATGACTTCATGTATGCGAACTGCTGGCTGATTATGTTGCATTTTTAAAATTATTTCAGTGCATTTAAATATATGGTATGGGAAAGGACAATAAGCTCTGTTTTTACAACCTGAATTAAATAATGTGAGATAATATCTGTTGAAATATGCTTCAGAACTGTTAGGTTTCAAGTTGAAAGGAAGTCTGCTGGCTCTAGGGACATCGTTGATAGAAATATGCCTGTTATTTATTTTTATTAATCCAAAAATCATTTTAGAGATTTTTTGTATATGTGATGCTTTTTCAAGTATTATACTAGACAGTTGTTTGGCCAGCCACCCAAAGTAATCATCATTAAAAAAAATATTTAAAAAAATCTGAAAGGTTCCAGATTTTAAAGGGACATTTTTTTAACATTTTGTGTTAACTTTATTTTTTCAATATCATGTTCTTTGGACTTAAACCATAAAATTCAGTTCAACAGCAATATTGCAAAATAATTTTTAAATGAACACATCTTTAGAAGATTCGATACACAGTTTCACATGCTGGAGATAAAAATGTTTTTCTGTACCATGTTGCCATTGCTCGCTTTGAAATCCTTGAGTTCGTTAATCAAAAATTCATTAAAGTTTTACAAAATATGAAATCGATAATAAAACAAATTCCAACTTTGGCCTTCCAGATGCCCATATTCGGTGAAGGATTACGTTATTCAAAATTGGATGGCTCTAGGTACCTTTGGTTTATCCCAATGCGAGAAACATACATACATTTATGCAGATTCTTCATTTTTTAATTTCTTTAAATATAATTGAGGGCGTTAATATTTGGTGGCAACAATTTTAAAAGTGGAACAACAGAGAGAGGTGCAGAGGGAATGCGGTGCATTTAGCTGTTAAGTATTTAGTTTTAGTTCATAAATATAAAAACAATGTTTATTCAAGTTTTGGTATTTTTCTACATTTCCCCCCTGTGAATCAATGCAAAATGCCAAAACGAAGTTAATAGTCCTTCTGGGTAAATTGCTCATTTGTAATAATAATGGTTTTAATAAATCTAATTAGTGCAATGTATAATTTAACAGGTCTAGCTAAGCAATAAAAATAATAGAGATGTGTTTACTGCTTTTTAACTGTTTAGTTTGCTAATCAGTTGTGATGGTAGCACTGATGGTGTGTTAATCAGGTAGAACTTCTGATTTTGTATAATAATTAGTACATTTATGAGGTTGCGTAATACTTACTGCATTTTGAACTCAAACATATTTTTTACAATTACAAAGAGCTCTTTGCCTGATTAAATTTGACTAAAAAATATCTTGTACTTTGATCAGTGGCAGTGAATTGCTTTTAAATTGCTGTGTTTAATCAGTGGCAATGAATTGCTTTTAAATTGCTGAGTTTCATCAGTGGCAATGAATTGCTTTTAAATTGCTGGGTTTCATCAGTGGCAATGAATTGCTTTTAAATCGCTGAGTTTTTGACTAAGTTTGGAATGTAAACATCTATTTTTTACATAGTTAATTTTTTTAACATTGATTAACATTGAGTGCATTGTACCGAATTGTATTTTGTTGACATTAAATTGTGTTAATATTGCTTCAGGTAAATCAAAATGTTCTTAAATTAGCACAAAATAGTTTGTTTTGTTTTAATTCAATTCAATATTACTTTCATATTTTCTCCACTTTTGTAAATATGCAGATGTATAATGTTCCCATGTTATATAATATATAACATTCTTCTAAATGTATATAACATTCCCCTAAATATATATTCATCTAACATCCTATAAAATGTTTTGCTATTCCACCTGAACCATCTCAATTGATAATCTCTATTGATAAACCACATTAACTCTTTCGCATCAAAGTCACCCCAAGCGCCCGAGCATTCAGACATCGGCTGGATGCCCGAAACGCCTGAATAATTTCCTACCCAGTGCTTTCCCCCATCACGTTACTTGCTTTCAGGTGTTGTTAAATCACATGTCAATCATTCTTTTGAAGCTACTAAAAGTAGCTTCCTTGTTTCCTTTGTTCCTTCCTTTCCTTTGTTTACTGTCAGTGTTTAGCTTTTGATGCCCAAAGTTGCAATCCTGTCCCAAGGGGGAACTTCACACAGTGTCAAAGCGTCGAAGAAAGAAGTTCTCGCTTTACTTAAGTAAAGTTATTGTTAGTGCTGTAGTATTCAACTTGTCATGGGGGGAGGAAAAGTATTCCAGGAGAAATTCTTAGATACGGGCGTTTTCGATGTTTGGGGAATTGAGATTTTGCCCTCTCTCAATGCGAAAGAGTTAAACTTTAGAACAGCCCTTTTGGGTGATTGTTAAAATCTGAACCTTTTCAGATTTTTTTCTTTAAGCTTTAAAATAAAATATTTGTAATTTTTTTTGGGGGGTGGTCTTTTTATTACAACAGTATTGAGATTTGTTTTATTATACCTACTTTCTTAATCAAAATTATCCTAACCTATTTCTCAATAGAAAATTAACCTATGCATAATGCATTAGTGACATAACTCCACATTCAAGAAAAACTTACTGTACTGAGAAGTACCCCAGAACTTATTGTAATGAATGGAGTTTATTTAGTTACTTGTTGATTAAATAAATTTTAATTTAGGTTATACCTTAGTTTCTATTTATAGTACTTTTGAATTTCTTATATTTTATATTAGAAAAAGTTATATAATCATCCTTTATTTAACAAGTTCTGCATTTGGTTTGTTATATAATTGTATTTTCATCTAGTATTTTCAGTTACAAACTTCAGTAAACTTTCTTGCAGGTAACACCAGAGGAGGCATTAGATTCCAACAATGTGATTATTTCTGTTGAAAACTACAACAAATTAAATTTTTTATGCTCAGAAAAGGAAGCAGAACTTTTGATGTCCTGGAGAAAAGTTTTGGATGAAATGTTTAATGCATACATTCAAAATCTTAAAAATGTTTCACCTAATGAATACAACAAAATGCTAACCATATTTAACTCAAGTTTCCTGCCTGTGACAAAAGAACTCTTAGATACACCTCAGGTCCCTTTTACCAAAGGGAAAATTTATAAATTTGTTAGTGGTAATCTAGTATCAGAAACTTATTAATCATACTCATTGTAATTATTTATTTTAAGTTCATGTAGATAATTTCATAATTAAAATAATTTATAAAAGTTTTCTTGTATTTCACTCATGGTGAACTGTTAAGTTAGAACAGGGGTTCTCAACCAGGAGGTAATTCTCTCCTCGGGGGGTTGCAGAGTTAATGCGGTCATCTTTTATTTAGCTGTTAAGTATTTAGTTTTAGTTCATAAATATAAAAACAATGTTTATTCAAGTTTTGGTATTTATCTACATTTTCTCCTTTTTTTATTGTTTAATTTATAAAACATGATAAAAAATCAAATGTATATATTAAAAGTTTTGGAAAGAGGGGGAGAATGATCTTCTGGTAATGGTGAAAAGGGTGCATGGGGCAAAAAGGTTGAGAAACTCTGAATTAGAAGTTCAGGTAAGTTAGAAAATCTTGAATTTCCAAGTGTAAGTTTATATAAGACAGAACTATCACTCGTCTATTAAAACCAGGAGACTACTAATTTTTAATTTATCTGAATTTAGATATATTTTTCAAATGTAGCTTTAAAAGAATTTTTTATAGTTAATTCTCAGAGTTCCTTTTTTTTTTTTTTTTTCTCTTAATGAAATTTAATTATGTGTAAATTCATTTTTTCGGGTGATATTTGATCTGTTTTATCGTAATCCATTATAGAGATTTTTAACACATTTTATGTAGACTTAACAAAATTAGATGGATCAATTTTAATATTTAATTTTGCTTTAAATCTTTAAATGATATATTAATAAGATTATCCACTGTTTTATATGCATGTTAATTATTAATTTTATTTTGACTGTATTTAAAAGTGCATTGATAAATGAAAGCTTGTTTTGCCTATTTGAATTTTCACCAATATAAAATAATAAAAAAATTAAAAAGTAATACAATTAGCCAAACAAATATAAAACTAAAATAAAATTTGAACTGTAAATAAGTTTTTTGAAGTTGTATGCAAAACTTAAAGTTACTTAAAAGTTAAAAGTTTAAAGAACTTAAAAAGTTTTTCATACGGCAAGGTCGAGAGTCATATTCAAGGGGATATGCAAATTGAAGAGTGAAATGTTTGCATTTGTATATAACTAAACATAAAATATCATTTGGAAAAAGTTTCTAATGTTAAGAGATTATATGATGAGCATTTCTATCTGGATTATTGTAAAAAATATTGAGCGATAATTCTCTCCGCCACCCCCCCCAAAAAAGATCTTATTCACTGATCAGGCTTCATTATTAACATGTATTCACCTCATAATATTTCTTCCATTAATTAAAAATGGAAGACATTTGTACTTTTATTGAATTTTTTACAATTTCCAAATTACAATTCTAAAGTAATGAAACTTCATAAGAATATCAATAATGTAAATTTAGACTTTAAAAACTTATACACGTTACTTGTGTTAAATTCTTTTGGCATACCAAATGTAACAAAATTATAAATAAAAATGATAATAAATCTCAAAAGACTATCAGAATGGTATATGAGAGAAAAAAATCAACCTCAAATCATCTTAAATTACTTATTAACCGACCTCTTAATGCAGATTAAGCACTTAGTAAGTAGCTTTGCAGTATCTCATTTCGTGCACAGCATGTTTCACTGGTATGTGGTGCGAGTATCACATTTTTCCTCTTTCCCTGTCTTGTTTTAACTTCACCATTCTGTTGTAAAACTGGCAAATGCAAATTAAGGATGAGGTGGAGAAATTATCATAATTGGATATTTAAGTCCAATTAAAAACATCAAATTAAAATTCCCAGTACTGTATAAGGTATTTCTCCCGCCTTCTTGGCATGCCTTCATGTTGTGGTGGTCTGCATGCTGGGCGCATATTCTAGAGGTCCAATGTTCATTTCCCAGTGAGGGCGGTTGCTCATTTTTCATCCTGCCTGCTTCCAAAAAAATACCTAATGTCTCTACAGTGGTGCTTGAATTAAAAAGGTGGTGGATCATGAATCTCCACACCCAGGATTTGGCAATTGGGTCTCCTAAAAACCCCAGTTGCCCTTTAAAAGGGGAAGTATATAAGGTGTAACACCACCTCATAATATTTCTTCCATTAATTAAAAATGGAAGACATTTGTACTTTTATTGAATTTTTTACAATTTCCAAATTACAATTCTAAAGTAATGAAACTTCATAAGAATATCAATAATGTAAATTTAGACTTTAAAAACTTATACACATTACTTGTGTTAAATTCTTTTGGCATACCAAATGTAACAAAATTATAAATAAAAATGATAATAAATCTCAAAAGACTATCAGAATGGTATATGAGAGAAAAAAATCAACCTCAAATCATCTTAAATTACTTATTAACCGACCTCTTAATGCAGATTAAGCACTTAGTAAGTAGCTTTGCAGTACCTCATTTCGTGCACAGCATGTTTCACTGGTATGTGGTGCGAGTATCACATTTTTCCTCTTTCCCCGTCTTGTTTTAACTTCACCATTCTGTTGTAAAACTGGCAAATGCAAATTAAGGATGAGGTGGAGAAGAAATTATCATAATTGGATATTTAAGTCCAATTAAAAAACATCAAATTAAATTTCCAGTACTGTATAAGGTTTTCTCCCGCCTTCTTGGCATGCCTTCATGTTGTGGTGGTCTGCATGCTGGGCGCATATTCTAGAGGTCCAATGTTCATTTCCCAGTGAAGGCGGTTGCTCATTTTTCATCCTGCCTGCTTCCAAAAAAATACCTAATGTCTCTACAGTGGTGCTTGAATTAAAAAGGTGGTGGATCATGAATCTCCACACCCAGGATTTGGCAATTGGGTCTCCTAAAAACCCCAGTTGCCCTTTAAAAGGGGAAGTATATAAGGTGTAACACCACCTCACCACGAAGGCGGTATACACCCGCCTGCGTGGTGTGGTGGTCTACACGCTGGGCTCATATTTGAGAGGTTGCTCATTTTTCATCTTGCCTGCTTCTAAAAAATACCTAATGTCTCTACAACTGTTCTATTACCAGTTATAGAACTCATCAGCTCCTTTCCAAATTTAAATATTTTTTTGCAGAAATAGATTTTTTTTGTTTTAAATTTTTTTTTTATGTTGCCATGCTTTTCCCTAACATACCACAAAGTTATGCAGTCTTTGACAAAATACTGTGCATCACCTTCAGCTTTACAAAGGTTATTATTTTGCAAATTAAGTCTCTTCAGATATGCCGGGAAGCACCTGTACCCAGTAATTATTTGATCGTAATGAATATTACATATCATTCTCATTTTTTTAGAAACTTTTTCAAGTTCAACAAATAACCTTCCTTTTTTTCCCAAAATGTTCCATTGCTGTTTTCAGCAATCATAATAAAATATCCTTTAATTTTACTAAAAACGATTTTTTTTATGCCTGAATATCAAATGCATTCCTGGCATTACTCATAACAGCTTCTTTGGCCAGCAGACCAGCCCTCTCATTGGCCTATACCAATATGGCCAGTTCATTTCCAATTCATGTGGTTTTTTAACTTCTACAAGGACTTCTTTCATACCTGAAATCAAAATATTAGTATTATCAGCATCTTCCTGTGATTCTAAACCAAAAAAAGGGTGATATATATTAATATATGTTTTTATAGTCAGGTTTTTATTAATCCATTTAAGTGTGAATGTGAAAGCAACCACTTTGGGTTGATAAACTGAACTGTAAGATTCAAGTGTAATTTTGCTGTAGTCTGTAACATGCAAATAAATAAACCACATATGATGCACCAATTACATTTAAAAACTTAAACCATCTGTAAATATATCAATTCCATTGCTTTTCTTAATGCAGGATGCTTCCGTTGAGACTGTTTTAAAACATCTAGTCAGAAGTGGCAGCCAGGATCATTGTATTGTATCTAATTTCTGATTTGCTGCAGGCCCTTGGATTTGGAACCCCAAGCTCCAACACCATACAATATAATGGCAATAACTGCTTTATACATTAATCTAATAATGTTGTTTTTCAATGGTAATGACTTAGCTGAGAAATTTCTTTTATAGGACAACAAAAGGGAGATTATTCTTTTATAAATAGAATTGAAATGGTGCTCAAAATTCAGTTTATAATTAAAAAGGAAACACAAGATATTTAAGGTTTTTAAACATATTTAATTTTAACACCTTTATATTTTAGCTCTGGTTTCTAATTAATTTTATAGTTTAGCTGTGGTGTTGCAGGTAGAGGGTGAGAAATGCTAGAAAAGGTGTCGCACATGGACAGTGTACACCCAGCAATTCCATGAAAACTATTCACGGTGATTTCAATGATGCGGATTTGCTACTAATGTGTGATATGGCCAACAGGCAATCCAGGAGACATCATCTGGATGACTGGCCCATGGCCATGTAATTGGAAAGCTGGAAAAAGGTTGAAGAGTGACAAGTGTAGCAGAGGAGTTCAGGATCATTCACAGCATCATTTCATGAACCTGGAGAGCTGCTCAAGCTTTCAGAAGTAGTCATTCACAAGTAACAATGAAAGTGGGTTTTTTTTTTTTTTTTTTTTTTTCCGAATAGCAGGCATTTACCTTTTTTTCAGCACTAGCCATTCCTAAGGCAAGAAGTGGTAGCCATTTTATTGTGGAGGCATCTAATAGGCGGCCGCCATTACCTTCTATGAGGGGATAGACAATTTTCTTCTCTGGGACTCGAACCCGGGCCCTTCGGTATTGCAGTCGGCTCCTCTAACCACAATACGGTCTGGGCGGTGTCAACAGTGAAAGTGGAGGAGGACCGGTATATTGTCCTACTGGCAAGATGAGACAGTAGGAGATATCACAAGGCACATGCAACAGACTAACGAATATCCAACATCATGTTTTTCTGTGGCCAGTAGGCTGCGCAGATGTGGTCTGTATGCACAACGACCAGTCTGGTGTCATTGGAGATGCCTGTTTCTATGGTGCCAGAACACAGGAATTGTATACAACGGGCATGGTTTTTACAGATGAAAGCCAATTTAATCTGACTAACGATTCTGAAGGTATATACATCTGGAGAGAAAAAGGAATACAAATTCACCTCCACAACGTCATCGAAAAGGACCGTTTTGGAGGTGC